CCATCATTACGAGTATCATTAACATCATTTCTTCTATTTATTGTCCTACGATGAATATAACTTTCTTCCATAGTTTATTTAAATATGGTTTACTTGAATACATATTTAATTGTAAAATTGTATAATACCAATATTATATGGTCACAAATTTTTAATGACCTTTTAAACATTTAGAGGTTTTCAACTGATATTTGTTTATACCTATATATTTATGTTACGAAACGTTTACGCTAATCTTAACCATTTTGAAAGACTTTTTAAATTAAAATTGTTTTCAACTTTGCTATAAATATTTTCATTTATTGTAACACTGTTGATACTAAACTTTGTCTTATAGATTCTTCGATCATTTTGTCTAAAGTTTTTAGAAGTAAAAACTGCAATAAAAAATTAAACATTCGCTATTCAATATTGTTTCATGTAGTCGTGTTATTTCCGGTTTGATTTCATCAAGTAATTGATATTAATTCGTCATATTTCAATTTTACTCTACAATCGTGAATAATAAGAAAAAAGCCCGAATGATTCACCGAATTGAATTCAAACCTACTAAAGTGTAGCTGTCGTTGCACCCTAAAATTGGCGAATATCTTTTCAATTATTTCTTTTTGGTCCGTTACCATTTATTTGTACTTCGTTTGCTTCATCATAATAAAAATCCATTAGCATTCCACAGCTAGACTCGAGTCACCCCACAAAAAAAAGAATATTTAAATTAATATTTTTAATTTTTCATTGCATTGTGTTTTCTTTCCTTAGTCATCTCTTAGTCATGATATCTTGGAGATTAGAAGAAATAGTGAATAGTATCTTCATATTGTTTAATTCGTAGTTTATTATAATGTACTTTCTGTATTTCCAGCAACCAAATATAAACTTGTTAATATAAAAAAATAACCTTACTTCATTAACGACCAACGTCACTGATACCAAGTTTCTGTTATAAGTTTCTTTTTTTTTTTTAAATGTGTAATCTGTTATTAGTCTTAGATGTATCGTAAACTTTACAAGAAATAATTCACAATAAAACACTTCTTAATGGTCTCATCAAGGCAAAACGGCTTACGTTCAAATAGACTACTAAGAGAACTAGAATTTGCGGTGTTCACAGAGCAGCAAGGGATTTATACATTCGTATCTCTAAATGCAACTCTTGCATTATCATATGAATAGGGTGTTATGTTTCTCTGAATATATTTTAGCGTCTATTCCAGGCAAGTATTTGAAAATTTTAAGTTCTAAAGCTTAAATCTAAATTTCAGACATTTCTGATCTTTTGAAATCTTTTTGTTTAAAAAATTTGCTGTGCTAATTAGTGATACACTGGATCGTTGTAAATGTATATCTGTGGATATAGATACGAATACGGATAATTAGTATTTGTATCCGCGATTATGGATATAAATCTTTTACTGTTTTTTTTTAGTCTGTTGGTGCCAGAAAGTTTTTTTAATAGATAATAAACGAATAGTAACACCCTACCCACCCTTCTGCACTGTGAGTATACGCTGGCGGGATATCAGTGAGGAATGTTAAATAAAGATATAAGCAGGTTTGGTCCATTGTAGTAAGTTCATCAAGAATTGACAATGGTGGTTTCTAAGGAGAACCGCGTAGGGATTTAGCCTATTGCTAGCAACAGGCCCACTTCTTCCTGTTACTATCAATCTCTTCCTCTTTGTAAAATTATAGTTAAGGCTTTGCATTAGTAACAACGTTTAGATTTGCACTACTTGATTATTTGTTCATTTTATAATTTAGTATAACACAAACAGCATAGACAGCTCTTGTATGATTAGTGTAATTATAGAAAAAAAATCCACAAGAAGTTTAGAAGTGTTGTTTAGAATAATGGAAATATTTTAAAATAGTAAATGATTACCTAATAATAGTATATATATAATAATCTAATAATACCTAATATAAATAGAATGTATATGTCTATAATTATAATTTAATAAGATGAAGGATTCGTTCAAGATCTGCCAAATAAAATAAAATAGATACGGATACAGATTCCAGTTAACTCAAATATGACAAGAAGTGCAGGGTCAGACTCCGTCTATTTATATTTCTTATCACTTTATACTCTTTCACAACCACTTTAAAAATAATATATAAATACTTTTTATTGTGTATTACGTTTATGAACCTAATAATATTTTTCCTGACTTTATTATCCTTGTAATATATTCCCAACATGAAGCTTCATTCCCTATTATAGTATACAATGTCATGTTTCTTGTTTTCCGTTTCTTGGAAACAATTATATTTTTCCATATCAAATATCAAAGATGTTTTCTACTAAAAGAACGAAAAAGTTAACATATATTTTTCAGAGGATTGTTTTCCCATAAAAGTAATAAATCTGCATATAATAATAATGGTTACCTCAGACGTTTTGTGTATCTTTGATTTCGTATAAATTGTTATGATTTTATGTTATGCCTTACGTGGTATTTACCTAATTGTGATTATGAAAATTTTAATACACAGTACATGTATACTCTTTTTCAATAGAAATTAATTAAGAAGCAACAAATTTTGTTAAAATTATCACAGAAACTCTTTAATTAAAATTATTACGATTACGATTTTATTAAACAGACTGTCTTATGGTTGGGTCAATTATTCGTTTGTTTCATTTTTTATTAAATTCTGTTGAAATAGCTTATTTTTTATTTATTAAAAAAAAGTAATGTTTAGGTTTTTAATGTTAACTTTTACGGTAGTTTATCAAACTACCATTTCCGTCATTATCCGTGCACTGCTAGATATAGGCCTGCAGATTAATATAGAAGATGAATATAGTATAAAATAATATTTGGTGAAGGGAAAACTTTAAATATTGTAGACTTATTTATATATTCTTTATTGCACTTGAAAATTACATTGTTAATGCTTTTATAAATATTGTGAGCAAGGGTGGTATCTCTGACAGAGATCTCTTCCAGTCAACCCAATGCAGTTAGAAAGCATGTTATTAGCGGGTAGCTGAAGTGTTACAACTATTAATATTTAGAGTACATAAACAGATATACAGTTAAATAAAATATTAAGATACATAATAAAATATTACATAAATACATATACTATTACTTACAGTATTTAATGTTTTCACTCCCGTTGTACTTACACCTGATGTCTGCTTGAATATTTCAATTAAATACTGTTACAATTTCGTTACATGTAGAGATACTGTAAGTTTTATACAAACCTTCCTCCTCTATTGTCCGTCGTAAAGTTTTCTTTAAAGCGTTTGTTTTATATGGTGGACATCAATATTTGTTAAATTCGTCCCTAAGGGACCATTATGATACGCTCCGTCGCTTCTATAACGACGATTTCCATCTGGCTGCGCTACAAATAGGCTTCAAGTGTAATCCCTTAATGTTATAATAAGAAATTTATTACACGTCCAATATGTGTTGTGTAATGGAACCTCAAGGATTTCTAAATTCATGTATAAGTCGTAATTTTACCTTTAAACAGACGACGTAACCACAAAACTTGTATTTATATATTTAAATATTCGAGGTTTTTTCTTTTTAAATTGCAACATTATCCAGTTAGACATCGTCAATACAGACTTAACTGCTTTTATTATCTGTCAAGGCTCAAGACAAATAAACACTTCCACGTATTTATTTCTGACTTATCCTTTTAAAAGTAGCTCATGAAAGTGCACAATAAACCTTAGATCATAGAATAATGTGTATCTATGTCTAAATTTGTGACTAAAACTGTGTATTCACTTTACATTATGCTTGTACAATTTATAGTTTCCAAACACTTTTTTACCTGGAACTATAATTAATGTTTCAGTGCAGTAAAGAGCCACAGTTTAAATATTTATTCGCAAATACTTAAAATCGTTTCATTTTGTTTGTTTCATTCGAAAGCTAGTCATGTGTGAGATGAAATTTGTTTATTTTTTTATAAACTATCTATATTGACATTTTTGAATCGGTTATTTTTGGAAAGTAAATATTTAATTTGCTTGGATTTAAAAGAAAAATCAATTGAAAAGTCGACGCAATTTCATTGCAATAGCTAGTATACATTTTGTATATTTACAATATAGACGCAATATTGGTAGCGGTTGCTTGATATCCCTCTTTTCACGGCTGTATGCCAAAAGCGCTCGGGCGAAAAATGAAAGGGGATCACAGGAAATTGGTGGAGCAAAATATTTCTAAGTGACCGGTATCTAGTCTGTGTAGTCGATTGATTGGGTTCTCAAAAGGTCCCTCTGAACTGAACGTTGAATTAAAATTAACAAAAGGCCATTTAATATCTTAATTAATTCGGGCAAATCTTATGCAGATGCAACAAAATTACTGCGTATTTTTATTCTTTAAACTTTCGCTATTGTTGTTAGGGCGATTTTTTTTATACTTTATAAACTCTACACTATTCAAGTTTATGTCGTTCTTAATAATAGAAAGTGTAATATAGTTAGTATATTTAACATAGCCATTACTCTCAACTGTCTTTGTTTATTTTAATTGATTTTTTTAAAGAGCTTAACCTAAATGTCGTAAATACTTAAAAAAATATTTATAACTTGTGCGATTTTTAAAAACTGAGAAATGGGATTTTAATGATCTTACTATGTAATTTCAATCACCATTATCTATTTATAAATAAATGTATTTGGAAAGTCTTTTTTTATATTGTTGTATATTTACAGCATTATATTTAGCCTTTTTTTTCAAACATGTCAACGTAAAGTTACACCTTAACTATACATTGTATGTTTATTCAATAGATCTTTGACATATTGCTAAATATATGAGGATATAACCACGCTAGCTAGTCTTTTTAATACTTAACCTATGAATTTTCTCCATCTCTTTTACTGGTATATTTTGCTTTATTGTGAAGAAGTAGTGACATATTGTTTGCATTTTCTTACTCCGTCACAAGACGGTTACTATTAGGTACACCCTGTAATAATATTTGTACTTATTAACTAACGACATTATCCATTGTTGCAGGCCCTACTGCAGGCACACGATGTGGTCGCCCGAGAGGTTTATGGAGAGGAGTCGTTGCGAGCCTCGCCACCACCAGTCAACGGCCGCACGACTGCGCCGCCGCCTGAAGACGAGGAAGACACCGAACCAGAATTCGAGAACGTGACTAGAGTGCGCCTCGTGCAGTTCCAGAAGAATACTGACGAACCAATGGTGAGTCCTGTAATCACAGTTCTCTAGATAACAAACGAGTGCATCGATTATCTACCGACAGCGTGGCATGAAAACGAAGAAGAGCCGGAAGTTGAAGCCTCGTTCTGTCTTGATTACGCGGTAGCGATAACCTAAATATCAATACATTTGTTTTATTTGAACAGTGAAAATAGAATAACAGACTAGATTTTATAAAACGATTTATTTATTACAAAATCCACAGCTTTTAAACACTATAACATTGTACTATTATTTTAGTACCATTTATGGATTTACAATGTTTATAATAATATGTTTCTTATTAAGTAATTCAGTGAAAAAGTTAAAGTTGAGTATTTAAAAACATAACCTAGTTTATTTTCAATTCTCGGTAGAAGTCTCACTTATCTTCAATGTCCTTCGTACAGACCTTTTACCGTTAGATAGAGTCCGAGTGCTTTTTTCTTCTTTGAGTTTATATTTTGATTAGTGAAAAACCTCATGTAACATCATAAACTTACTTTTTTTAAAAAATTCGTCCTGATTGAAAAATTATCGAGTATAATAATTTTAAGTCTAAGTATAGTATTTTTTCTCTTCCCATGTATACTTCTATGGATGTTTCTATGGCCCCTAATTAATATAACTAGCGACTTTCTATGCTACTTTGTAAAATTATTCGGAAAAAATAGGTAGCCCCTTAGTTTCTTCCAGTTTCTCGATATAGATATCATATTCATGTTTGTGACCATAGAATCGTTAAAAAATTGTGACGAGTAATGCTCGTGAAGTGAATCTATATATGTAAGTACAGCTTATCCAATTATAACTCTCTTATTTTTGAATGGGGTATAACGTTTTTAATCCAAATTTGTTAATTTTGAAGTGTGTAAATCATAAATTATGTTTTAGCATTTATTGGAAAATCAATTTATATGGGATTGAAATAGGGAATGAAAATATATACTTTTAACTCTTCTTATAAACGTAAGAAGAATTGGCATTCTTTGAAATTGACTAAGTTGCATTTTGTACTTAGAGACATTTTTCAGCATTGCAATTCAGGAAAATCTTCGTAATTCCCCAGGACGGATATGAGATCACAGATTCTATATACATTCTATATATATAGTCATTGCTTTCGTGAAAACAATGGTCACTTCTGTAGGATAAAGTTGCCGCCGGGCTGCACCGTTACTTCAAACAAAACCCTCGTAAAGGACGGGCATTTAAATGACGTTGGAGAATTAAATTGTTGTTTCTATTATCTTTTGAGTGCAGTAAATTTACTACGTTACCAGTGACGCAAATGATAAAGGCTTTAAATTGAAAACAGTCTGTTTGTTGAATTAGTCCTTGATAAGTTTCTAAATACTTAATTAAATTCATCAAAGTTAATACTACTACTCGTATCAATGTGTCACACTATAGTGGTAAAAGTTTTTAGGTCGTCTTCGTTGTACATGAAGGCCTCTGACATGGTTTATAAAACAACGGATTTACATGTTTTCCAAAGTACGAAACCAATGGCAATTATTTTTAAATGAACCAAACAAGAATAATCAAATTTCGAGGTTTAAGCTGGGATTTGATTTTGGAATCCCTAGACCTCTATCAAACATTAAACTAAGTTGTCACTGCTCTAACGTATCGATGGCTTAATGAAATTTATCATCATCGCATAACCTGAAATAGCAACACATTGAGGTATCATAAACGTCAAAGTATATTGTATATGCTTTCACATCTATAGGCAGTGGTTATCACTTTCCATCAGATGAGCCATCAGCTCTTTTAGCTTATAGATCATTTTTAGTTTCATAAAAAAAAAACTTATTTATATTCCACTGCATAAATCTCTTCACGCTGGGGTTTTTTCTTTGTTCCTTTACTCGTTTTTTACATTTTGTAATTAAAACAAATTAAAAATTATTCTAAAAAACTGACAAAAAATTTAGAGTCCCCCATTCTAACTTAACAGCCAGACCGCATTAGTAAAGTAATCTCAAATTTTACTGTTATTTTTATGCCCATATTTCTTTGCAAAAAAAGAAGTATCAGTTTCTCTGTGAGACCATTCCTTTAATATGATAATAATAAAATAATAATTTCGATTTTAAAATAGTTATTATCAGATTTTGTTGTTGATAAATCGGTCTAAATTCAACAATTCCAGGGCATAACATTAAAACTGGCTGACGACGGACGATGCATCGTAGCCCGCATAATGCACGGCGGGATGATACACCGACAGGCAACGCTACACGTCGGCGACGAGATCAGAGAGATCAACGGCACGCCCGTTGCCAATCAGTCAGTCGCGCAATTGCAGAGGATGCTGGTATGGATAACATGCTTATAATTAATTCATTTTGACGTACATTGAAATGTATAGTTACAAAATTTATTATTTAGTTTTTGCAAAATGCATTATGATGTACACTTATAATTACACAGAAACAACAATCATAAAATATCGAATTCTCCCTATCTGTTTATAGAGATTGTATCTGGTTTTAATCTTATTGCCAATTTGAAACAAATGTGGAACTTTTAAAAGGTTCGTCTAAACTCTTTGAACTTGCTCCTTAAAGAATATTATGATATTATTGACTCGTAAAAATATGTTTATTAACGTCGTTATCTACTTGGGTATCATACGAATACGAATCATAAAGTTTTTTGTAAGTCTATTTTATTTTGTTCATGAAGTATTTCCAATTAACATTTAAGTCTGGACTTAGGTTTCTATTTTCCTTTTTAATGTAATATAGAATTTTTTATATTTCCTTTTTTTTTCAACCAATGATAAACTGTACAATATAGTCACAGAAATACTTTTATTTCGTTTTCTCTTTCCATTTGTTTCTTTTTTTTATACCATTCAGTTGGCAATCAAGCATACAGCCCACCTGATACCAGGAGTATTACGCGCGCGTTGCCGACCCTGAAGAAACCTCTTTACCCCCCTTTTGAAGAACCCCATGCTGTAGTCTGTTGGGAAAACCTTGGCAGGGAGCTTATTCCATAATCTGAGTGTTCAATAAACATCTCTGAAACCGTGTTGTATGCGTTTCTACTGTAAAGGTGCTACGTTTACAACGATTGTGATTTGAAAGATATGAATATGACAGTGGGATCACTGGTCATGCAAGCCTAAAATTGTGATCCTGTAACTGAACAGCCTGTTTGCCATTCCAAATTGTAAATAAAAAAAAATATTTTATAGCGCGAGGCTCGTGGATCGGTGACCTTCAAGATTGTGCCATCCTACCGTTCTGCACCGCCACCGTGTGAGGTAATAATTTCTCTGTACCTACTTTGATATTGTCTAACATCTATTATTTTGATTTATATGTCAATTTGTAGGAATTACTTCTCTTATTATTCTATCTGTGTAGTTTGTTATTTAAAACTATGTAGCAATTAGTTTCATTTTAACAAACGTTAGACTAGAAAAGCATTTGTGAAAAGCTAATACTGATATGTGATTGAATGTAATACTTAATATTGATTTAGACGAGAATGATGCAGAACGCTTGCTTTTTTTATTAAACTATAATACACTAAAATAACAGATAAATAAAGAAGAGTCGACAAGCGCACACAAATCTTTCACTGAATGCTTGTCTTAAGCATAAATGATTGGTGCATATAAAACTAAAAATTAAACCCTGTATTTTTGTTCTAACTAGCTTTTCCGGATAAAGCCTTCGCCCGTGCTAGTAAGTAGCGAGACCAGAACCGTTGCTACTCTATGTTGTCCTATGTTTTCAGATTTATGTTGTGTTATGTTCTTCACCTGGGCATGGCTGCGCGTCCCCGCGATCTCCTCCGTTTCTGTGCGCTTGTTGTTCTTTACCACGCTTCACAGTTCATCTCACTCTCTTTACATCTCATAAGCCTACAGTACATTCACTCATTTCTCCTACATTTATCAAATCAGTCATTGTACTACCACGCTTATCATCATTCTCATACATGTCGTCTCCTATCATACCGTACATTTCTATCATTTATTCATTTGTCATCTCATAATATTCATATTTTAATAAAACTTTCTCTTTCAGATATTCGTCAGAGCACAATTTGATTATGACCCGTTAGAAGACGAATTGATACCGTGTGCACAAGCAGGCATTGCGTTCAATACCGGGGATATTCTCCAGGTAAATAATAATAAGATTGTAATTCTCTTATTATTTTGTACAAAAGTCCTCTATATTGGTATCATACTACGACATCATTCATGTCTCTGTCATCAAGCAGCTATGCTTGTATGGTGCGAAATGGCACTGAAATTACTGGGTATAGAGGGGTAATAGACCTGCAGTCCTTACATTAGTATCCCTTATTACGTTGAGACAATTAAAAAACCAATATAATTCTGTTCAATGTAAACATAAATTCCTTCCAGATAATAAGCAAAGACGATTCACATTGGTGGCAAGCACGCAAAGATGCTTCCGGTGGTTCAGCTGGTCTCATTCCCAGCCCTGAACTCCAAGAGTGGAGAGCCGCCTGTGCTGCTGCGGAAAGATCGAACACCGACCAAGGTAAAAAGGAAAAAGATTTCTTAACAATATTATGTATTACTGTTGTATATGTGTTCATAAACAAAGGAGAATGGGCAAAGATATAATAAAACGAATCTCTAGTATCTATATATATTGTTGGCGAGCTGTTTTCATAACTGTCAAGATGGCGGCCTTCTCAAATAATCGTGAGAAAAACTTAGAACTACAACAAAACCTATTTATTAGTCAGTGATATTACTGTATCTACTAAATAGAACATCATCTAAAAGTCATCTTGTAGAAAAACTTCATTTAAAATTCTGTTCGACAAAAAAGACTTCAATCGTAACAAAATTAATATGAGACTATCATTAAAATATTGTTACATTTTAGTGATAGCCTCATATTAAATTTTTAATCGATCGGTGTACCAATCGTTAACTTTAAAAATGAGTCAAGAAGGAAACCAATTAATCAAAAAAGAATCTCCTCCTTGGATTCTTTTATAAAGCGACCTAAGAATCGTCAACATAATGAGTACATTAATAGATGAATAGAACTGTCTTGTCTTTAGTCTATCCGTGTGCTGCTATAAAATATTATTTCTTAGTAATGATAAACTAACGTCGTTCTATATTTATTGCTCCTCAATGACATTTTGCCGCATCCTCTTTTGATAGTAAATTTTTAATGGAATTAATTATACCATAGTTTTTGCATATGCCTGGTTTACTTCTGATTTGTCAAAATGTGTCTATAGCTATAGTTACTTGATTTGCCTCAAATAGCATTTATTTGGATGTTGTATTAGGCATTCTATATCGTGAAAGTTTTAAGCTATTATTTAAATCTACACGTCCGTTCTTTCTACTTTGTTTTCTAAATGTTTTCATCTAAAATATATAGCTAGGGAGAACTTGAAAGTATTTTGTCTTCTTAACATAAGTATTTTTAGATCGATGTTAGTTTATGTATTTTGTATTAATGGTTACTGGAATGATTTTTACTTTGGCTATGTTTTTTTAATGTATCTATTTTTGGGTATGCTTTATCTACATAAATCTATAATTTCATTAATTTAATAGTTATTACATTCTAAATATTCTTGTTCTCTATCCAATTTCATTTGTAAATTGTTTTTGTTATTCTAAATAATATTAATTTTCCAGTAACCTCATACCTAGTTTGCTCTAACGTTATTTTTATTAATGATTGACTATATAGCTACATATTGATTTAGACTTTGTCGGCTAATTTGCTACATTTGTGTACATTTATCATAACATTAACATATCGTATTTTGCTTTCAAACATAAACATCAATGGATGAACAGTCGGTATGTAAAACTGCTTATTATATATTAAATGAGTAATACAAGCTCCCTCTTTAAAAAGTACTATAATCTCCACATAATCATATTTGGATTCAACCTGATTTTGCATGGTATCCTTACCAAATACTGCAAGTAACAATACTTTTATATTGATAACTATACTATATTGATACTATATAACACCCTGTGTATCTAATCTGATGACCCATTCTATATCCACATATTTATATAGCCAATGTACAATCAAATGTAGATAATGACCAAAGTATTTAGATGTTATAATACTAATGAATAGTGTGAAGGGAGTTTGTGTAACGCCAGTCATTGTAAAAACGCTGCTTTTGGGAATAGTTCTTGTGTAAATTTGAATGTTAATATTTACAGCTATATTTGGAATATATCACTTATACTTAGGGACAATATTTTAAACAATATATAATTCAGTACATAATGTTCTAATTGAATAGGTATCTGTATATAAAAAACATGAAATATGAGAACATCGAATTACTTACCTTTATTATGATTTCTAATTTGACTGAATAGGCGAAAAATTCAACTACTTCACTTTTCCTTTTAAATAGTATTATTGCTTACTGTGAATTCTTATTATACTTAATAATTGTTTTGAATTCGTAAACAATATGGAATTCGGAATTATTGTTGCTTATTAGGTTGACAAGATATTTCCCAAAAGTAGCGTGCCTCCCTCCCCCAGAGATGACAAGTAATGAATATACCATACCATTCCATTGCGTTTGCATGAACCGTGTTGTAATGTTGTGCCGCTAGGAGCTGAAGGATGCGTGTCACATACCGACGGATGTGAGAATACAGGTAACATTAGCGTAGTGCCAACTATACGTACAGTCTCAGGTGTAACATCTTAAACCCTACATACACGGAAAGTTTTTTTATCCCTATGACAAAACAAAACAATAAATTTAGTCATATATCTACAAGTATCAATTTAATTGGGTAAATAGTTTACTAGAGAAGAAGCGAGTTGAATATGCGAGGGAGACTGACGTCAAACCAGTACTGGTATGTCAGTCAAATTAAATTGCGCCAAATTATATCAAATAATGCTAAAATTCACGTATTTTATTAAGTGGCTAAAAGTAGCAAAATGGTTGCTAACTCTGCATATTGATTTACGAAATTAATATAATCGATAAAATTAATGGCATTAATTTAATCGATTATATTAATCTCATAAAATAATTATGAGATTGCATCAGATATTTGTTTCGAAATTATACGATTGATCATTTAGTCAAAAAATTAATGCGATGAGCAATAATTGCTCTCGGCCAGTGCTAGAGTTAATGGATTATTAAATTACTCGATAACGCCCATTATTTGTGTGGCGGTTTCTTTAGATATTGGCATCGCAATAAATTGTTTTCTGATTGATTACCCAGAATTACACAATGAAACTGACCGTGCACATTTAGTTTATAAAGAATACTAAGGATATGGTACATCGTGTAATGTCCTTGTACATGTCTATAGGTGGCAGTTACCAATTTCCGTTAGATGGATCATAAATTTATTAACCACTAAAATAAAAATATTAACAGGAATTTCTTTTTTGAATTCATAATCTTTCTTACATATGAATAAGTTACTTAAGTAAATATTTGATGTATATGCATGGATGTATCGATGTATTTTTTAATAATCGTTTATAATAAAGGCATATAAATTCATAATTTAAGTATACATCAGCATGATAATAAATATTGAAGTTTTAATAAAATATGAAATACAAGCTATATTATAGAAAAGTGTTTCCTAATATGTTACCAATTATTCTTATGGACAATTGTTTGTTTCAGTGAACTGTTCAATATTTGGACGCAAGAAAAAGCAGTCTAAAGACAAGTATCTAGCGAAGCACAACGCAGTCTTCGACCAACTAGATGTCGTCACATATGAAGAGGTCGTTAAATTGCCATGTCAGTATTTTTATCTTTAATTTAAAGTTATCAAACTAAATATTAAATAAAACTTTTATTTAATATTTAGTTACTCTGACTGATTGATTTAAACTGTCCAATTAAGTTAACTGTCCAATGCTGAATATATGCCTCTCACATAGTGGTGGGGGAGGGTATTGTCAGTAGTTGCCACACTTAGCAAGTGAGTTGGTAACTGGAGTTAGGCTTTTGATGGTATTTCAAGAAGGACTCTGCTGTACATTCCTCGACTATTAAGTTCCCTTAGTCGTCTCCTACGACACTCACGCACAAAAGCAAATATTTCACTACGTAATATTCACGTAATATCATTTTATCAATTTGGTTTCCTTCAATCAAAAAGTTATGCTGGCCTTTAAAACTTATAGTTATTGATAAAGAATTTATCAATTTTATTCACTTGCTTTGCTTTGTACATAAAATAACATTCAAAACCTTACTTATAAACATAAAAACTTTTTTACAATATACATAAAATATTGAAGGTAGAGCAAATTTTGTTCCAGTCAGTCGTTATATTTTCATGAGAGAATGGTCATGAAAGTATGTAAGTAAATCTGTGAGTGAAATCTAATATCTCATTAATTTATTCTCTCATTTTCAGCGTTTCAAAGAAAAACGATAGTGCTGTTAGGTGCTCACGGTGTGGGTCGTCGCCATATCAAAAACACGCTCATCGCGCGACACCCTGACCAATACGCCTACCCGATACCACGTGAGTTTTTTTTTTTGTTTTTGTTATGTTGTATAACCATAATAATAACTGAATAAAAATCTATCTATCTAAATAAAACTGCCACTCTTGTGAATTTAATAAAATACATAACTACCTTATGGTAGTTTTGTATTTTTATTAAATGCATATGCGTATGTAGACCACCCCAATATTGTCTACCATATAAGAGAAGGAAAAGGTAAAATAAGTTAAAAATAAATAAAAAAAATTTTTCTTTGTTCATTTTATAATGAATAGCAAAACGTATTGAAAATACAAGTGTGTAATTGAGTAAAAGTCCTGGAAATTTAAAAAAATGTGACATTTAAAAAAAATTTAAATTTGCATCTGGCAACCCTACTATACGCTGCCAAGTCATCGACGAAAAATAATATGAGTGACTTTTTTAATTCAGTTATTATCATTATATTTTTTTTTTAACCAACATTATAATACTACGGTAAAAATTAATCATAATTGTTAATTTCAGACACTACGCGGCCCCCGAGGACGGATGAAGAGAATGGCAGACACTACTATTTCGTCTCCCACGAGGAAATGATGGCGGATATCGCTGCCAACGAATATTTAGAATATGGTAACATTGAAATAATTACAATTTACTGATTTATACTGAAGTTATTGAGGGATCGAAAATATAAGTTTCTTTTCAAAATCTTACTAAGTACTTACTTTTCTATTTGTACGTTCTATTTGTATTACATTTTTTTATACAACTTAGAATGGCAAACAAGCTGACGGTCCACCTGATGGAAAGTGGTAACCGTCGCCTATAGACATGAGCAGTACCATGGACATAACAGAGTATAGTGTTTCACCCATGATACCCCCCATGCGTCGCCATTCCTGAGGACTCAGGTGTTATTCCTCTGTACCCAGTAAATTCACGCCATATCCCACCCTTCAAACCGAAATACAGCCATGCAAACACAATTGCTTCACGGTTGAAACACGAATGGGACAGAGGTAATCAAGCAATCGATTTTGCCTATGCAACCATATTAATTGAAAATAAATCATAATATACCAAAACTTCATTCAAATAGATTGAGAATTTTGACATAAATTCTATTTTGTAATATAATTATAATAAAAATTCCAATTTGTCATAACAGGTACACACGAGGACGCAATGTACGGCACGAAACTGGAGACAATCAGGCGTATACATTCGGAGCGACGCATCGCCATCTTGGACGTGGAGCCGCAAGCGCTCAAGATTCTGCGGACTTCAGAGTTCGCGCCGTACGTCGTGTTCATAGCTGCACCGCCGCTCAATAATGTCGCCGATGTGAGTTTACTTACACAGTATTAGCTTTTAATTTTTTTTTGTGAATTTACTGGGTACAGAAGAATAACACCTGAGTCCTCAGGAATGGCAACGCATGGGGGGTATCAAGTGCGAAACAGTATACTCTGTTAGATTCATGGTACTGCTCATGTCTATAGGCGACGGTTGCCACTTTCCATCAGGTGGGCCGTCAGCTTGTTTACCATTCTAAGTTGTATAAAAAAAAAATCTTTGGATTTAACTTCTAGCAGCAGTATTTCCGAACCGATACGATAACATAACCTTCAAGAAAAGAGCACATTCCTTTTTAAAAAGCCGGCAGCATACCTGCAATGCCATTTTTTTTTTGGATTGGTGAAAATGGTATGGTAACCCCGCCTGAGCTAACGAGATACGCTGGCGGAGCACCAGTGAAGAATATATATGAGAATGAAAACAGATAGTTAGCCCATCATGATGAATTCATCAGGAATTAACCATGATAGTTTGGGAGAATCGCGAGGAGGTCGACCTGGTTGGGTATAGGTATAATAGGATTCTCAGTCTCTATTACTAACAATCCCTTTCCCCCCTACCTGCAATGCCGTTTGTGTTGTGGGTGATTACGGGCGGCGGTAGTCACTTGCCATCGGGTGAGCCGCATGCTTGTTTGCCCCCTGTGTTGTAAATATATAAATACATATATCAAACGTCTCAGTTTATAAAATATAAAAAATAAAGTGGCTACTTAAATAATTTTTAATTGTTTACTTTTTTTTTCTACAGTATGACGGCTCCCTAGAAGTGCTAGTTCGGGAGTCGGAACAGCTTCGACGAACATACGGCCACTACTTCGACCTGACGATCGTCAACAATGATATAGATGACACACTGGCGCAACTGGAAGCGGCTCTAGCTAGACTCCGCTCCACTCCCCAGTGGGTGCCCGTCTCATGGGTCTACTGACAATCTGATTACTACCTTTAAAACCACAAATTTATCTCACCAACATCTGGAAGTCAACTAAATTGAGCTGAAATGGGAAGTGTCAAAATAGCTGCTTATTTTTGTCGCGTCTCAACATTTTTTTTTTTATCGTTAAATATGCCCTTTTAATGTATCTAAGCTGTAAAAGAATTTTAGTGCATTTTATTGAAAATAATCTTACGTTATTACCTAACGCGGTGTATGTGAAATTTATTGTGTTTTAATTGAAATATTTTGACGCCTATTTCACGTATTGAAAATTTCAAATTAGAATTGCAATCAATAATTTACTTTAATATCTATCCGATAAAGTTCAATTAAAACTGATACATTATCAGATAATATCAAATTGAAAGCACAATAGGGTTATTAAAACTGTAGCAAACATAAATTTACATTTCCTATGATAATGCAACTAAGATATCAAAACTTATTTATATTTTTATGTAACAGTTGTCTTAGTCTTGTGACGTAGGTGTTTAAGTTCACTTAACAAGTTAACTTAAATATTTCATCTATTGATAATTATTTTATCAACTAGTACTAAGCATCAACGTTTATTTCTTGAAAGGGCTGTTACAGTAAGTTACATCTGAAAGAGCTGTAATATTTTAAACATATGGCATAAAATATTTCTAATTGATCTTTGAAATGTTGCAGCCATAACACGATAAAACATTAATAAAATAAATCCTAACACTAATTGATAGTTGATGTACGGTCTAAATGGTTTAAAGTATGAAATTCTGCTACGAAGTATCTTGTATAATATTGGAGAGTACTAAAAGATTTTAAAAAAATAAATATGTAGGTTACATAACGAATAAAAGTTTATGTGGATGGGTCGCACACCTAGTCATACGCAAGACGCTTGTAGGTGGAGAAGGAGAAATATAATACTGCCATCTCGTTGTATATGAGTTTTTTAACAATTTATTTAAAGAGAGGGAGCACCATTATCATGTTTCTGCTCCGAATCGAAGAAATCGTAGATATGGTGTTCGATATTAGTGCGACTGCACTTTGAATATCATTTAGAAATTCAAATATGCCTTATGTTTAAAATTTGACAGCCATTTAGCATGTTGCTAATATGACTACACTATTAAAATAACTTTATCAGAGTTACTAGTATTTCAATATACATTATTCATAGGAATAGCTATTGGTAGCAATATAAAATTTCTTCTATACAGACACTTCACTTGGTACAGATTAAGATCCTAACGGCTGGCTGTTATTAGAAAAAAAAATAGGAAACAACAAAAAAAAAACATGACGAATTATTATTACGTAGTTCACTTTACAATAAAGTGCACGAATTCATTGTTTCATAGACAGTATGATTACATTAACCAATGTAGTCATAGACAAAGGCTGGTGTTGTTTAAAAATTTAATCATATTGTCTATGGATTTTATAAATTATAATTTATTAATAAACTATTTTTAGGTTTCTTAAAAATTATTATTATAGATTTTTTTTTAATTGTGATAGTATTTTTTTTTGTTGTGTTTTCTGTTCGATTGTCAAACAATTGTTGCTTTATTTGTAAGATACGTAAAGTCTTATATAGCTTGCATTATCATTTGGTACATTTACCGCTCAATAAAAAACGTGCCAAATGTGCGACTACCAAATTTTCGACTAAAAAAAATACGATTTTAGGCATCACTTGCACATGTTCACAGGATTTTTGGAACAATGTACATAATTATACATTAGAGTAATTTACGATAATAAATAACTCATTAGAAATGTACCCGTAGCTCAAAATGTTTTACTTCGAGATTTGAATTTAAGATCTCTCTTAGTGTATTGTAATTGAATCTTGTCGTTTTCCAACTACTCATTATAATAATTTACCAACTGCGTTTAAGTAGTATTCTGTTATTTCATCGTATTTTAATAGCTGTTCTTATCGCCAATGACGTCACATTCATAAGTACGCGCTTAAATTTGCATAAGTTTCGATTCACGGTATTTGCGCGAATAACAAAATAATAAAATATTAAGTTGGTCGTATTTTAGGGTGCTAGTGGTTCGATTCAGAAATGTTGTTTTCCATTTAAAAATAGCGATAATTTGAGAATGTAGGTTCAGAATTTGTCCCACTAAGTATATCATCGTCATGTCAGCCGTTAACTCTCCACTGCTGGATATAGGCCTCCACTATTAAGGGGGATTTTGTCAATAGTTGTAACTATTGGCAGATTGTTTGGCAACCGCAGATAGGCTTTGGTGATATTCTAAGAGAGACGCTGCTGCCCCATCACAATCACTGGAAAGAAAGGAATCCATTCTACGCCGAGACCACACGGCTTAAGGACTAAGTATATAATACTTTTAAATTTTATTCTTTCTATCTACAAAATTAGAGAATTGTAGAGACAGGTTGAGAGAGAATGACATTTCAGAATCAACCCAGTAGGTATGTTCTGAGATCTGTAAATTTATAGAAAGTAGTTAGATTTTTTATTTATTACAATACAGATTGATAATAATTTGCCTCAGTAAATCAACTCATCGATTATATCTATTACATCAAGATTTTTAGAGGTTTTTCATTTTTGTCAACAACATTATACAATTTAAAAAAAAAAAAAAAAAACTAGTACATACTTGGTAGTTGGAAAACGGTCTTATTGACTATATTACAGGATTAGAATTCACAGGGTTGCAAGAATCAGAATAATCATAAATATGATTTACTCGTATGTGTTTCACTACTGTACTTATTTATATTTAAGTACTGTAAGTATAGAAAGATGCCATGGATAAAATACTCTTTCACACGTCACTGTTTTGAGAATAACTCTGTATACCTATTCGCCAAATATATTCAATAGATTAAACTTGGAGTTTTCGCAAATCCATTTGGATTGCATTGACGACCTCTGTGGCGTGATGGGCATTTTGTATTGCGTAAATGAGGTCCAAGGTTCGATTCCCGGTCGGGCAAATTATGGACATAAACTTTTCTGAATTGGCTTGGATCTGGGTGTTCTAAGTGGTGCCTCCCACATATTCCTTGCCTGGTTCTTTATAACACAGGGTAGGAAAATAAGCGTTTTGTATTTCTGCTATATCAATCAATTGAACAATTATATTAAATTGTTTAATAACAATTTTTTTTTTTTTTGAAGAAATATAATATTTATTATCATTTATCATGTGTATGGTCTGAATAATATTGTATGAACCTTATTGTACATAAAACAGTAGGATCTACCTCATCAGATCAGGGAATAAACGAATACTGTGTGAAAGGTCTAGAGAAATGTGTGAGTGAACAAAAATAGTACAATACTGAGGGCTTAAGTATTGTACCATTTTTATTCAGTATACTTTCATGGCATCTTCTATAATTTTCTCTATACACTAGTATTTTTTTCTACTATGATTACTTAAATAAGGCGTATGATATTAGATTTATTACTAACGTTTACTTATTTTCCAATCTATTTAAATATTGTTTAAGTATTAATCATATAAAGTCAATATATTATAAAGAATTTTAGTGCAATATCAAATACAATCGCTCCGATTTAACATCTTTGTATTTATGCCCAATGAATTTTTACAAAAACATTTGTATTTGTTTATGGCCACGATAGCATATAGAAGATGAATCTGGGTTACTTTTTTATAGTATTTTTGTACCATAGTTCTACTGACCACAATGTAGAATAAACTGTTTAAAGTCTAGATCCAGCCATAGACAAGTCTTATTACTAGTGATGTAACATCGACTTAATAATGCAGTAGATTCTTCTTTTAAAGTTTTATTAATTCTCTATGTTTAATTTATCTACCAGAATTAGTTTCTAATTATATTATTTATTATAGTAGATATAAAATGTTGTAATTGGTGTGATTGTGTGGACACTTTTATTTGTTGTTTGATATTACAAAATGGACGCCTTTTTGAAGTAATCAATTATTTATTCACAACTGCACGAATACATTCCTGTATATAATATACAATAATATAATAATATAAAGTAGTGATGTTTTACTATATAACTACTCACTGTTTCACTATTTTTACTTTTAATCAATACTTAGGCTAAGTAGGACTCAGTAAGAGATTTGGCGGTTCCGTATCATTTTTAGAAAATGGAACCACGAATGTTTGTCACCTGTTCTTGATACTTGTCAATGTTCATAGTATATGTTATTATTTTAGTTGAGTGTTATATTTAATTTACAATTTGAATTTTATGAGTGTAGTTAAATCATATTTTAATTTTGATATTATTGATATTTGAATCACCAAAAATATTCCATATAATCATCATTTACTAATTAATTGATTTATACTATTAATAGCTAATATAATGAATGTTCAATTCGTTTTAAAAGTTTTATGGTTTTTTTTAGTAATTATCACAATGTTTTCTATTTGTTTATTTATAGTTGTTATTGTAATATATAATTTTGGAATTTATTCTTACTATTTTAAATTGGAGCACAGGTAGTGCAAATTTCTTGGGGCCAAGTCCGCAAAAAGGCTTTGTAAATCTATAGGCGACTACAATTAATGTAATAAACATGATTTTGGCTATGGTCTTTTGTCAAAGGAGCAACTTTGATTTGAAATTGCTCAAAATAACAATGTCACAACTATACTGTGCTCCAATAGAGAATGAATATTATAAACGAATGATAGAAATGAATGTAGTTAAATTAATCTAAACGATATTGAATTTAATGATAGTTTAATGTAATTATGAGATGTGTAAGATGGCGCGAGTAGCACTGCCCTTCTGTACAAGTGACAAATTAATCCATCTTTATTTTATTAGTCACACACATACAGTACAAACATAAACATTTTGTACAAATAAATACATGTTTTTTAAAATATATACTGTGCATTATAATCTGATATACTACGTGCAAACGTTCTTTAATGTACGCGCAAAAAGCGACACAGTGGAAATTTGAGATCTTTGTAGAAATTCGCAAATGATTCTCCATGATTTTTGCATTATATTACCATATCTGGAACGGTAATTACAACATAATTCTTTATCTGTTAAATGACATTTCGCTTGTATATTTGACGTTTTAATTCAACTTAAGCATATTTAGATATGGACTCGTTTACCACTTGTATAGAAACATGTTCATATTTCGTTAAAGTTAATAATGTTGCCATATTCTTATAAAAAAACTTTATCTCGATCATGATTTCGATGCAATATAATTGTAGGAAAATATTCTGTTGCTCTTTTATAAATTTTATTGCGCTGAGAATAAACGTAACGCGGTGTTTATGAAATTCTGTATAACTATCAGTTACATTTATATAAATTTTAGAATATACCTAGCAACATTTTTGTTATGCAAACTATATATTGTATTACATAAGGCTCTTTATAGTACTTAAATTATTGAAACAATATATTTTATCCTTAAAACTTTTTTACAAGTCATTAGCTTAAATTTGAGGTTGAAAAATTTGCTAAATGTGAATAGTGTAGCTTTTATAGCAAAGGTGGCGTCTGCGAATGTGGCGCCATCTTGTTACGACGTAAATAACAACAAACAGCATTGGTAATCTACTGCCAAGAATAACTTATAAAAAAGATTCTACCAGCTTGTAAACCAGAAAGATACTGATTCTGTCTGATAATAAAATTTTTCAATCTCACATATGGCATCTTATAAGTTTTATTACAGAATTGTAAGTTTATTGTGTCATGTTTGTACCTATTAAAATTATTTTTAACAAATTGACTCACAAAATACCTATTAAATAAGTACATAATTATTTTCAATTTTACAATTTTAAATTGATGTTTGTAGAAATGTGTTTTTTGTATATACTAATTGTGTTATGTTTTAATTTTTTGTTCTATAGTGCTGCTCCTTTAAGGATGAGTGTTTGAGAGAGTCTATCTTATAATAATTATTGTGTAATTAATAATACATTTAACTGAGAGTATTTTTAATGTTATTAAGTATCACAAAACAAACACGTAACATTCCAACATCATATTGTTATTAATTAGACATTATTTTTATTTATTTAAAACAACCATAATTTTTTTTTCTGTTGTAGTATTAACAAAAATATATGTGATCTTTAGTTACGTTACTTTTAGTTAGTTTTAACAGTGAATGTCATCTTGTATACTCAATGATAGGTGTTGTATCCGTGGAATGAGTATGATATATTTAGAACTATGCTTGAATTAATGAAACCACAATTAATGCACATTGTTACTTGGGATTAGCTTAGATTGTGGTCAAACACACTCAAATTGAATATTAAAAAAAATAAGACGAAAAGAACAATGGATTTATTATACATTTTCTAAAGTGGTCACTCCCTTAATATGCAAAATATATATTGTACCCATTTGAAAAACATAATCATAGCCAGAATCATATTGTTAATTTTATCGACTATTACAGTTGTGTTGAATATAACACTCGATATGTATTTCACCGAGCATATTTCATTTTCTTAACGGTATTTCTTACCACAATAAATGAAATAATTATTTATATTAGCTTTAAAATTTTCGTAGTCAATCCGAATTGACCTCACTACGTTTGGAGTCTATAAGGAGTCTATCAGGCCCTTACGCTCTCCACGTAAGCAAATCCTATTTAAACAGTAAACATGTTATAAATGACTCCCTTATTTATAAAAATGTCAACCTCTCATAAACCTATGTTAGCTATAGAACTGTTTTGTCTCTTTCACTTCTACTAAATTTTCAATTTGAAAAAAGTGTCAAAACAGTGTGTAGGAGTTAAAATAGATTTGTAGAAATTTTAAGTTTTTGTAACTATGAGGGGGGAGGGGTTATAATATAATTGTGTTTTATAAAGTAAATAAATCTGTCATTATGCCACACTATAATTAACTATACTACGGATACAACACTTTTTACCTACATCCGTTTCAAGAACTGTATATCCAAATGAAAATTTGTAAAGTGAACACAAAATTGAAGTCAATATTGACTTTGACAGACGTAGTCCCGAAGTGTAAGCAAGAAAGAAAACAACTCCCCTTTCTTTAGCGAGTTACTATAAAATACTTAAGGTCACAAACATGTGCAGTGTAGCATGCTCTTTTGATGTGTTTAATCTTACATCAGGTTATAAGCGTACTGTTAGTTAATTACATACATATTACCTATAAATACGTACGCCAAAGATAGTAGGTATATCGTCTACGCAAGCCTTAATTAAAGTCTAAACGTGTTAAGTCTGCTATCTCACTAACGGAAAAGGTCTTAATAATTTTGGCTTCAAAAATATTGCAATATTCATTTGGTTATAATGCTTCTTGATCTACTCACAACGTAGATATTTTCTTGTGGTTTTATGTTCAAACTATAATAATCAAATTATTATATTATATATGGTACTTAATTCAAAAATAGTAGAGACATACTAAATGTTTTAAGAAGTTTAAATGTAAAATCACATGAAAGCGACTATACTAAAACATTTAACTATAAATAAATATTAATTTTACTCTTGAGCATTTAAAGCAAGTTATAATGAGAATTATTACTATGGTGACAAGTATTATTTTAGCTTGCCTTAGATGTGGCTATAATCCAAAATCTGTGTAACAAAAGGCAACAAAAAACCTAATAGGAAACAGTTTTATTGAGAACAACTAAAGATGACTGAAATAAAGTCTTATTATAATAACTGTTATAATTGAATAAATCGCACAAAATAATTTTATCTTTTATTCAAATATATACCATCACAATTTTTGAGGTACTCTTGAAATAGCTACCATAATGGTTGTTAGTTTTTTATGCATAATAATATAATGGTAACCCTGTCAATGCCAATACAAGTAAGACATTGTGACGAAATTATTAGAAATTAACCTAAGAACAAGAATTAACCATGATGGCACAGATAATATTTTATAATAGAGGTGCCCGAGCAAACGACACGGCACCTCTGTCTCATTCGTGTTTCTACCGTGAAGCAGTTGTGTTTGCATGGCTGTCTTTCGATTTGAAGGGTAGGATATGTCAGTGAATTTACAGAATAACACCTGAATCATCAGGAATGGCAAGGCATGGGGGTATCATGGGCGAAACAGTATACTCTGTTATGTCCATGGTACTGCTTATGTCTATGGGCGACTGTAGGTGACGACACTTGTTTCCATTAAGTTGTATAAAAAAAAATTGTAAACATTTTATTTGTTCATATTTTAAAATATTTCTAATTGATGATGTTTTTATTTTAGCTAAGTTGCATAAAAAAAAAACTAACGGTGGTTTTCAGGGTGGACCGTATAGAGGTAGACCTGATAAGAATATATTGTTAGCAATGGCGGTGTTAAACCTTATTACTAAAAATTTCTTTCCGAACCCCTCCCCCCACAACTTAAAACTTTATTAGGTAACAAGTAAAGATTTGGTACGTTTTGAAAGAAGGCGCTTAGTATAAATAGTGTATTGTGCTTTTGTTAATAGATGATAATGGAGTGGTAATGCTTCCTGTGCTAACGGTATAAACTGGCGGGGCACCAGTGATAGATGTCTGATGAGGATAAAAGCAGATCAATTAGCGCATCCAATCCAGAATTCAAATAAAATTAACCACGATGATTTCCAGGGGGAACCACGTGGAGGTCGACCTGAAAGGGTACATTGATAGCAATGGGGATTAACCTTCCCATTACTAACAATTCCTTCCCCCACTCTGTTACTATTGTTTTTTAATTTAAGAATTAACACTACTTTCACATTAAAGATATTAAAAATTATTCTATGCAACCATTAAAGAGCACAACCACGAACAAATAAATGACTATTTATAGTATCAAACAACTACTTATAAAGAATTTTTGATACAAATCTCTATATTAGTGAGTAAATATAAAAGATTTTGCTATTTTATACAGTAAAATTTTCAAACACAATTAACTGGTTGCATTGATATCATACACATGTGTTTTATTAGCAGTGCATGTATTCTCTTCTTTTTTTTCTGACATTGACACTAGGGGTGTCTGTTTAAAAATTTATTAATATTTTTATATTTATTCGATAAAACTTCGTATGTCAGCATCAATATTATTAATGTATCGCTAATTTTTTAAATTAGCAATGATTGAATGGTGAGCCACCCGCGCTATCGATATACGTCGGATGGTATAATGAGTGAAATAAGTCATAATGAAGGTTGATCCTGTGGTCCCGGCATAGAATAGGCCACCTCTGCCTTTCCCGTGAGTGTCGTAAGAGCCGATTGAGAGAGATGAGCAGCAGCGCCCTTTTTATAAAATCTTTAAAGCCAGGGGTAAACAATCCGCCTGTGAAGTTTATATTTAGCAATGGACAGTTAAAGGCTGATATAATGATAATATGATGAAGTCAGGTCATTTGGTCTCTCATGACGAATTAAACAAGTTATTTTTATTAAGGGAATTGTATGGACGGGGATCTAATATTACTAGCAATAGGACAATGAAATCACATTCCTAATATGTTTTAATATCGAATACAATTCACAAAAAAATATTATAATGACTTTAAATCCACAGAATCTATATACCGTAACCGTAATAAATTAATATTTTTTTTAATAAGTATAATACGACCAGGTCAAAATAACCCACCGCAAAAATAATTACTGCCGTTGTTACGCGTATCTCTTAACTACTCACACACAGATGTCACTACCTGTATAATGAAATCATTAAATAATATTAATATATACTACTGTTTTTATGGTAATTATTAGTTACAGTTAGTTTTTTAATCGAATCCATGTTTTTATAAATATATCGTAAAAAAATCAAAGCTATTATATCGAATCAACTCAATTCGTCTATATATCGAGTAAACTCGATATATCGATGTTAAGTGAATTGCTCTAAGTGACACAGAGTAGATTAGAGTAATTTTTGCTTGTTCTTATTTCTCCCGTTTCTCGATGTTTTTGTGTTTTCACATTATATTATTTTAAATATTCCATATACATTATTTACAAATTTTGTTGTAAAAGTGTTGAGAGATATAAATAAAAATATGGCTCAAAGAGAACGTCGCTCGAATGCTGGCAATCGCATGGCCAAATTGCTTGATGAAGAGGAAGAAGATGAATTCTATAAAACAACTTACGGTGGGTTCCAGGACGTCGAAGAAGACAGAGATTACATGTGAGTAATATGAAAATATTGTGATAGTGAACAATTTTTATAACGTTAGTAAACTAAAAGTAATATGTCTATCAACTGCAGTTACTTGGACAAATTATGGCCATCAATTATAAATATTCCAAGTGATTTAGCTATTGTCTGCATTCATTATTATATCAGTCGTTAATTGCCCACTGCTGAATATAGGCCTCCTCCTTGGGTGGGCTTTGTCAGTAGTTACCACGCTTGGCTGGCAGCTTAGCAGTTGCATTTAGGTTTTGGTGATATTTTAAGAGGACTGCTGTTGCCCAACCCTCGACAATTAAGTTCCCTTAGTCGCCTCTTACGACACCACAGGAAATAAAAGAAGCCTACCCGGACTATATAGCCAATCTTTTCTTAGCCAATCATAACTAGCTCCAATTAAAAGTCGCTCAGCAAGCTGTAAAAAAAGCTATATTTAGAGTTTCTCTTAGGAATTGAAGCTCAGATTCATTAAATTTTTATATTATTTATCATCGAATTTAAGTGGAACTGTAGCTATTCAACGAAGGAAATATTGAGAATGTTTACAGTTTTTATTGAATTTTTAAAATTGTAAACATTTTATTTGTTTATATTTTAAAACATTTGTTAATTGATGATGTTTTTATTTCAGACAAGAAAAAGAACAAGATGATGTTGTGGATTCAGATTTTGATATAGATGAAGATGACGAGCCCCACTCTGATCAAGAGGCAGAATCCAAGGAGAAGAGGAAAACAAATGCAAATGTTTATAAGGTTGTCTATGATTTTCTATTAACATGCTGTTTTATTCTTTATTGTCATCATGGGGAAAACAAAAAATCTGAAAAATAGTCATTATAATTAATGTACTAAAGATAAAATTATACAAATATGTCACTTCTATCTCCCATTGTGGTAGGCACTAACAAGTGAGTGCCAAATGTTCTAAAACTCATTGTAAATTATTGATGCCTATTAAAACACTTTCTGTAAGTAGGAGAAGTAGATAAAATCTTATCTGAGAAATCAGGGTCTGATAGGGCTGATATATATCAAAAAATCTGATTATTTGATTAGAATTATTTTGTTTAATTCCACTACCATTAGTATTTATTAGAAGATTGACTACTATTATTATTAAAAGAAGTTCAACAACCCTCCATATTAATCATCAATTTTAGACTGTCATTTTGTCCATACTTGGAATTCTCAAAATAACACCTAGTTCAGTAAAATACCTAAAGAATGAAAAAGTCCTTAAAAAAAATAGAACTCTTTCATTTTCGCCAATGGGAATTCTCTAAAAATCTAAATCTTTTCCAGTAAACCTTTGGAGATGAAGAAAATTGTTATATGTAGTTATTACTGTTTCCCTAGCTCTTGACACAAACTTTATATTGTACTTCTTTATATTTATATAATTTGTAAAATGTTTTAGTCATTCTTTTATAATCCAGCTTTTTTATTTACTTGTACTACTTATGTAATGTAATAGTTAAATAAATAGAAATCATATAAACACCTAATAGTCCTAAAATTGTTATTAATGTAATTATATAGTATATTTACCATAAAATATTTTATATCTATTTATTTTAATTATAGTAGCTGGATTTTATATTTATGATATTTTCTTTTCTAGGATCCCAACAGAAAAAAGAAATCGGAAAAACCTAAAAAACCAGTTGGAAGGAAAACAAAAGAACCAAAGCCTAAAGAAGAAAAGACTGAAAAATCAGAAAAAATAACAACACTTGACACATCTACATCAGGTACAGGCAACTGTCAACTTTTGTATTAACAATTTTTCATTACTCTTGTAAACACATAAACTTATAACATAAAGAATAAAATTACTAATCATCATCTTCCTACCCTTATCCCAATCATTTGGGGTTGGTGTAATATGATTTTATCCATGTTACAAAAAGATTTGGTTTTTAGTTTTACGACCGGCCTGACATCAACCCTCTTTGGGAATGCATTTGTTGGTGGTTTCCGTCACCTACGCTATGGAGGAAAGGATTGAGGAAAAAAGGAAGGGAATGTTGGAAATGTGTAAAGGAAATTGGTGAATGAGAGGAATAAGAATACTAATGTATACTAATATAATAAAATGTTTTTTTTTGTTGGAATGTGCCAATTTCTGGGACTATCAGTTGGTTTTGAAAAATTCTTTTTACATTTGACAGTTTCTTTCTTGAGAAAGGATATAGGTTATTCGACATGTTTTTACAACCATAGGAGAAGCTAAGGAATATAGCTAGGATATTACAAACCCTTACATTTGATGTTTTATTTCAGAACGAAAATCCATCAGACAAAGCACAGCAGTAAAATCAGCAGAAACACAACAGCGGATAAAGATAAGATCAGAGTTGAAGAAGAAAAAACCAAAGAAAGTAGAAGAAAAATGGCCAACACAAGAGGAATTGTTGGAAGAGGCACTTGAAACAGAAAAAGAAAATTTAAAAAGCTTAGGTAAATTAATAGATATTTTTTGTATTTGGTGATGGAAAAAATAGTGTATAAGGAAACGATTGAGTAGTGAATTTGAACGCTTTTTCTTTGGGGAAAGGAGAGAAGGGATTGTTCATAATGGGAATTAGTAGCCTCATTGCTAGCAATACAGCATGTCAAGTTAAACTCCTCATGGTTCCCCCTGGTAACTATCGTGTTATAAGTATGTATTATAAGTGAATTTATCATAATACGACCTGTTGATTCATTCTTATTTTTTTTTCTCACCTAGCATCCCTCACTCGTGTCCTGCCTGCATATACCGTTAAAAAAATACCCTTCTTTACATATGAAAAAAAAATTTAGACTTTGAAACTGACATGGTGCTTCAAGCTATCAAACTCCTATAAAGGCGTAGGATGAAAATAATTGAAACGACATTAAATTATTAAGAAATTTCATCAAATAATTTCACACTAAAAGTATTGTTAGGTATATTCATCAGTATTTTTGTTTTTTTTTTTTGTCAGAGAGATTTGAACAAATTGAAATGGAGAGGAAGAAAATTAGACCTACAAAGAAAACGATTACCGGACCGGTTATTAGGTAAGGGTGTTTTATAATACAAAACAAACAAGCATATTATGGTTCACCTGATGGCAAATGACTACGGCCGCCCATGACCCGTAACATCCGAGATATTGCAGGTTTTTTTTATAAAGGAATATTTATATAATTATATATAAATTTATTGATATGCAATATTTTTTAAATCGTCGCTTCTTTATATATATATATATATATATATATATATATATATATATATATATATATATATATAGAAGTGTATATTATTTATACATTATAATATAAAGAATTTTTTTATTTATACCACTGAGGTGGCAAACAAGCATACGGCCCATCTGATGGTAAGTGGTTACCGTAGCCATTTTTATGAATTGACATGTTATACCTTCATGATCTTCTTAATTTTTATTCGTCCTTTATTACAGATATCACTCCTTTGCTGTGCCATTAATAGAAGAAGTGACAGAAGAGAAACCCACTGTACCTAGTACGGAAGATATCACGCTGAGTGATGTGATAAAAAATGAAGATGGTAAGGAGTTTTTAATTTGATAATGTATTTTATGTGTTCTATTATGTGTATATTATGTCCACGTATTAAATCGGTTTTGTAGGATTTCGCCATCGACAGGGAGTTCATCTTATATCCTACAGCCTCAATGGTTGCGTACAGCGCGGTTTCAGAGTTATTTCCTCCCACGAACACTCAGGTTATGGAATGAGCTCCCTGACGATGTTTTCCCAAAAGCCTACAGTGTGGGGTTCTTCAAAAGGGGGGTAAAGAGGTTTCTTCAGGGTCGGCAACGCACGCGTAATACTTCTGGTATTGCAGGTGTTCATAGGCTACGGTAACCACCTACCATCAGGTGGGGCGTATGCTTCTTTGCCACCTCAGTGGTATAAAAAAAAAAATAAAAAAATATAAATGTAATCTAAAATTATCTCTGTACTATATTTTGCCCGCGGTTTTTTCTGATAAATTCGTCACAAGGGGCTAGCTGACCTATCAATCCTCACTGGTGTCCCGCCAGCGTAGATAGGTTCTACCACTCCATTAAAGAAATAAAAAACACATCAATGAAAGATCAATCCGTTTATCCATGCAAGCAAGATTACAATCGCATTTTCAAGTAGTAAAAAGACTGAGTTTATTGTAAAGTTTTTTTTTTTTATTGTAGTGGTAATGTCAACAGGGGAAGGAAGCAGTACAAATGTAACAATGACAGAACCAAAGACTGAAACAATCGAAGAGAAAATAGAGAAGATGGATACGGATACAAAAATAGATGTAGAAGTCACAGGCCCTGACGAGGAAGTTGACGTCCAGAAATTTAAAAGGTATATAATTATTTCTGTTTATTTATATAAGTTACTCAAGTTGGAGTAAACAATATATATTTTAATCTGTATTAATATTAAATTTAATTCAAATCGATTGAGCTATTTTGGAGTTAGTAATGATAAATATCCTTCTTGACTTCGCATGGGTAGAAAGATTTTTCTAAACTAATATGTAGCCTAAGTTACTCACTGATGTAGCTTTCTGCTTTCGATAGATGAAAGGATTTTTAAAATCGGTTGAGTAGCTTTTGATTTTATCCATTGCAAAGAAGCAAACAAAGATATATTTCTTCTTTATAATATTATTGCAGAAGATATGTTTCTAGCAAATAAAGTATATTCACTCTCTCTCTCTTTAATTCTGTCTTTACTTAATCCTGGAGATTGTTAAATTGGATTGGAATATATTCCGTGAAATGATGGAATACATTCCACGAAATGATTGCTTCTATTATGCTATCCCATAATTTAGGGTATTCTAGAGATTCAGGCGATTGTAGTCTGTTTCAATATAATTTAATGAAAAGGTAAACTTTATTGTAATTATCAGAGAAACATTTTCGAAATGAAATTAGTAAAATATCGAATTTTTCATTTTATTAAATCGATCGATTTTTTATTACAAATCTACTATTGGGCATCAGCCAGATAGTTTATGGTCGGGCTGATTATTTGTTTATTTAAGTTTTCATTAATTTCTATCCTGATAGTCATACTATGATTTATTTATTTTATTTATGGGCATTTAATTTATTTATTTATTCATTAGTACATGTATGTGTAAAAGGTGGACTTAATGCTAAAAGCATTCTCTCCCAGTCAAGCTTAGGGAAGTGTCAGGATACTTGAATGCGGTACTAGTAATAATTTATATATACATACTAAAATTTACATATAATAATCAAATAAATATATATAAATAACAAATATATATATAAGATATACTATATTATACACGAAGATTAGAAAAATGGATAATATTTACTGCTCGGATAAAGTAGCACATGTATGTGACACATGCTTATATAATATGTTAAACAAATTATTTCCTTTAATGTTACAGTAAAGACGAGAAACCCCAGAAAGAGCAGACCAAAAATATCAAATACCACGAGCGCACATTGATATCGTTCGAGAACGACATAAAGGATATAGCGTTCAAAGCTTGTTTCCCGAAGTCGCGACCAAAGAGACGGCGGGATCTACTCTGTGCTGTTACTAAGTATGTAGTCTCTGATATCATTCTTTATTCTTTATTGTACACAAAATATAATGTTAATCACAATTTATCTGCTAATGTTGAATAAATAATTGAGAATTTTGTAACAGCTTTAAACTTGGTATTGGAAGTTTGAATTTTTTATTTGTTGATTAATTTTTCTTTGAATTTAATGTTCAATTCCATTCTATAGATAAGCATTATTATATCAGCCGTTAAACGTCCACTGCTGAGCATAAGCCTTAGGGGGTTTTGCCAGTAGTTGTCACGCTTGGCAGACGGATTGGCAACTCCAGTTAGGCTTTGGAGATGTTTTAAAAGGGATGCTGCTGCCCATCCCTTGCCCTCCCTGAATCGCCTTTTACGAAGTGGTTGCCTAATCTATGCCGGGACCACACGGAAATTTCGTCATAGACGTAGAATATTGACGGATCTTTATATGTAATCTTTGTCAGATCCGTCAGTATTCTACGACTATGACGATATATTGCATATAAATAAAAAACTAAAAAATTTCCACTCATTCCATATTTTGCTACGGTTTTTTAAACACAATATTGCTGTCAAAATTTAAATTTTCACTAGCAGCTTAATATGGATATTATTACATGTTTAACGTTTTAGTTCGTTAGTGAGGAAAATTTTAAATAATCGATCAGTAACATTGAAAATTGTAAATTTTTTTTTTATTTGTAATGAATTTTGATGTTTCGATAAGTTAAACTTATGAACGCTGTTAATTAATACAATTTCAGGAAGCCAGCTCGCTACATAGATCCTGTAACAAAACTGCCATACAGAAGCGTTGATGCCTTTAGAATAATAAGAGAGGCATACTACCAACAACTGGAGGCTAGAGGTGATCGGTCAGACCCTCAAGTGGCCGCGTGGTTGCAGTGGAGGCGAGCGGATGCCGCATCAACTTACGTTCAAATACATATAAAGTGAATTGTGAACTCTATGCCACGGTAATTAGTCACAATTTATCTTTTATACAGGGTTAGTCGTAAAGACCATATTCCTTCTTAATGGGGCGAAAACACGCCTGTAATTCCTCTGATGCTGCGAATATCTATGGGCGCCGGTAATCACTTACCAGGTGAGCCTCATGCTGGTTTGCTTCCTATATCTAAAAAAAGAGTATATTAAATTCAAACCTTGTTATAGTATTCACAAAGGCGAATGTTTCCCTAAAAAGTAAATTTTAAATCACGTAATAATTTTGAATATTTCCATACCAGCCACGGTCGTTATCATAAGAGACGTTGAAGAAATATATTCAGATTTTGACTTTTAGTGGCAAATTGTTAGTATTATAAATCTGTCATTGGGTCTCGCCTTGTTACTACCAACTATGGCTAACCTTGTGTACAGTCAACGTCAAAAGTAGATGAACATATTAAGTTTTTAAACCTCCATACTTTATATTAAGTAAATTTAAATTTAGTATAAATTTAAATTTACTTCATTTTCATTTATTGTTAGTGCTAACCTAGTTGAGATACGTATTTGCATACAGCATTTATAAGTTTTAAAAATGTGTAATTTTGCGAGAAATCAAAAAATCTATATGTCATATATTGACGTACGTCATATATTATATCCTCAATAGTCAGATCGTCAATGGGGGGAGGGGGAGAGGATTTTTAGCAATGAGGACTAGAAACCCCCATGTAGGGTATATTCTTAGTAAGCTAGGAATATAACCCATCAGGTCGACCTCCATAAGCCCTCCCCCTAAAACCGTCGTTGTGAATTGTGCCTAATTGACCTAATTTCATTCTCACATATCGTCCTACGTTGGTGTCCTGTCAGCGTATACTGATAAAAATAGTCTGTGTTTTTACCAGCTTTCAATTTATTGTATTGATAGCGTTGATTCTTAATACTTGTATGGAATTTTCAATTAATAAACAATAAATAGAATAATATGGCGAAGCTTATCAAGTATTCATAATACGTACATGTGTATGTTATTGTGAATTAACAATATTTGTTACAATATTAATTTTATATTTATAATGTTAGTAAAATAATTATAACTATCCATATGTCATACTGTTTCATTCATTCATTCATTTACATAGTGCCGTCTAGTCCTAGCTTAGCAGAGCTTGTACTATAACTGCTTGTACTGCTATTGGAAGATCTATCTAGAACAAATTGTATTGCAATCCAGAAATTAACAAAGATAATTGTATTATTAAAATTAGTATAAATAGTTGCAATTATTTATTTTTATTAAATTTTGTATGTAACAATGTTTTGTAGTTTAATTTTTTTAACCCTTTTTCCCATAAAATCGATTTAAGAAGAAAATCTCGAAATAAAAATCTGTTTTAATTCAATTTGGTCTGCGTAGTAATAGTAGGATATTATTCCTTCTCTATTATGTAAGTGTACGCGTGTTTATAAATCGCGTAGTAAAGAATAATTGTATAATTGGTACTTACTTTCTTTTGAAGCTAACGAAACGTGATATTTTTTTGGTGGTTTGATTACAAATCATTGAATGTCATCAAATATCCAAATGACAGTAAAATCCGTATCAAAATTCTTACCATGGTTTAGAAAAAGCAAGCGAAACAAAAAAAAATGGATCCTAACAACGAGTTTGTTTCGTACTCTTCGAGTTTATTATTAATACTACTATTTATTCATACATTTTTAATGAATAATTTATTACACAAAAATATTCAACTTCACTCACACTATTGCGATATAAAACTTTTTTTTTTATTTAATTCTTTATTGTACACGAATTGACGAGTTGACAGAATATGACGTAGGTAATCACAAACATTGTACATTTACAATTTGTACATTGTAAAATTTGTACATTTACAAAGGCGAGCTAAGCCGGCATACACTCTAATAGAGACCTCTTCTTCTTTCTTGTATAATATATATGTATATATATATATATATATATATATATATATATATATATATATTTTTTTTTTGTTTTCTTCCAGCAAACTCAAAGTGGAAAGGAGCATCAATGTCAATTATAATTTTTCAAACTTTAATAAAAATGTCCTGAATTGGTAGTAATGGAGACGTTAATCGCTATTACTAGCAATATACCCTGTTAGATCGACCTCCACACGGTTCCCTCTGGAAACCATCGTCATCAATTCTTGTTGTATTCGTCACAATAGACTGACTTAGTTTAAACGTCACCTTTTACGCAGGCTCCTGCCTGCCTTACCATTCAATTATCATCCATTAAAAAATCCAAATGGGGGTAGAGGGGAGGTATTGTAAGTAATGCGGACTACTAGCCCCAATACTAGTTTTTTTTTTATGGGTGTAAATGGTATAGTAACCCCGCCTGCGCTAACGGGATACGCTGGCGGAGCACAAGTGAAGGGTAATGATAGACGAGAATGAAAACAAGCCAGTTAGCCCGTCATGATGAATTCATCAGGAATTAACCATGATAGTTTCAAGGGGAACCGCGAGGAGGTCGACCTGGTTGGGTATATTGCTAGTAATGGGATTCTCAGACTCGATCACTAACAATCCCTTTCCCCGCCCCATTACTAGTAATATACTCTATCAAGTCGACTTCCACGTGGTCCCTCTGTGGAAACCATTGTGCTGAATTCCAAGCGTATTCATCACGATGGGGTGTAATAAAAATATAATAAAGGAATAACAGAGCAAAACAGTTGATTTGCTCTTTTATTCTCACCTATCATCCCTCACTGATGCCCCACCAGCGTATACTGTTAGCGTAGGCGGGGTTACCATTCATTAATGGATGACATTAAAAAAAATAGCAGTAGATAAAAATAAAAAAAAATAGTTATTTAAATTAAATATTTCTATATATTATACTAATTTCATTTAGAGAATGTTTCTGTTATAATTCCAATGAAGCTTGATCATCTTTACACATTAGTTTCTGTTGAAACAGTCATAGTGACTTGTATAGGAATGTCAACCTCAGTTTTTTTTTTATCTATGATTCAGGGCAACGAACTGCATTGACCCTGCTCTTGAATAGCATGTCAAGACTAGTAACCGAATAAGAAGCGGGTGGGCGGCGAACAAAACGTTTGTATGCGGTCATATTGAAGCGTATGAGATATTTAATGTCACGGCACATCCATTTTGGGTTTTGAGTCAATCTATTGTAGTTATGGACGACTAAGACGTATGGGTAGAATAGAATCTGTTATAGAATACAAAATCTTATAATCTAACTGGCCTGTTTTCGTTCTCATCTATCACTCTTCACTGGAGCTCCGCCAGCGTATCCCGTTAGCGCAGGCGGTGTTACCATTCCATCTAAATCCATAAAAAAAAAAATTCAGTCTATGTACTGGTAATTGGTTAAACCATTCAAAATACTAAGAGGTAACAAACAAACTCACTTTTACATTTATAATATTAGTAAGGATTTATAAATTGTAATAGTATAGTAAATGCGTAGTAGTTTAGTAATATTATAGTTATTTATGTGCTAGTCATTCTATAGTTTTTTTTTTATCATAAAGTAGTAGAACTATAAATGTATTTATATGTTTAAATGTAAAATAAATAAGAAATGGAAAAGTTTACAGTCGGAATCTTGATCATACCATTCACTCCAAGTATCATATGTTCACGAGTATGACAGATAAGCCACCGCTCATTGCATTTAACAATCTCTGACTCAATCTGGGGAACTTACAAGCAGAGATGGAATTTGTAAATGAAAGTGCAATAAGATAAATCAATTATTTTAATGATGAATAAATAGTTAAATTTATGATTAGCTTAAGTATAAAATTAGATTCAGTATCTGTACATTATTGTACATGTGTAGAATTATTCTAGTTAAAAAATATTATGACAATTATTCAGTTACATGGTTGATGATGCTAGCATAAAATATAATGAAATGATAATAGAAAAAGAAAATGTTATTAAAAATATACATAATAGAAATAGAGTTATTCTGAGTATCAACTTACATTAGGTACTAGTAAATACTGTTACTTTTAAATTTTAAATAAAATTACATATTGCTTTTTTTTATAGATCAGCAGTAAAAGATGTGTTTAACCTTAAATCTGGCACGCTGTTTCTTCTAGGCTTTTTGTTCATCAGTTCTTTTAAGGTAATAAGGCCAGATGCTTTAGCATCCAGCCTCGACTGGGATTTTGATGGATCAGTTGTTGGCAAATAAGGGTATTCACTCAAATAAGTCTGCGCGCTTTTGATTTGATTTTCGTTTGTTACATTGTTAGTCTCAGACATTGCCATTTCGTAAGGGCTTATTGTCCGATCTGAAATGTTCTCCATAGATCTGAAAGCTTCTAGCACTGCCTTTTTATGTGCTATACCTCTCAAACTACCTTGCCTACTTAATTTTCCACTCACAACATCACTGAATAAACCATCTACATTAAATTTCTCTGATATTTTTGTTAGCTTACTACTACAGTCATTATTTTCATTTTCTTGCATTTCATTCCATATTTTTGCAATTTCAGATGAAGGCATAGAATGTGATTTTTTTATTTTCTTAATTCTTTTTTGCGTTCGTTTTGTTTCGGGAGATTCCGATGATTTATTTTGCTGTATTTGTTGACATTCATTTAATTTTATAGGTTTTTTTACATCTCTAATTTCTTCCAGTGATTGAAAGAATTCTTTTGCCATTTTAAAACGAGATTTGTAATCTTTCTTAATTGCGTCTTCATCTCTTTCTGGTGAAGGTTCTATTGATTTGTTTGGACTTTCAACTATTTCCAATTCAATATCCGATAGACTGACATATGTTGTTTCTTTTTCCCTATTTTCTGGTTCAAGTTCATAGGAGTTACTGGTTTTAGTATCGATACTATCAATACTTACACTTTCAAAACTTTTATAACTGTCGTGTTCCTGATATATTTCTTGTTGTGATGAATTTTGGGGTTGATTGATTATATTTTCTGCAACAACTAAAGACATAATATTTTGTTAATATTTATTTAATATACCGACAATAATAGCAACAATTTATTATTTAGTTATTAGATTAGTTACAAAATCCAATAATAAATTCAGTAAATATTAGAATGAATTTATATTTTGTAATATTTCTTAATTTGTTTATTAAAATGTTTAAGCTCAGCTTGCTTACCATTTTAAGTTGCATAAAAAAAAAGAATATTCGCTTAAAATACATACCTGAAGTGGAGTTGCTGATATGCAATGGTTTTTGTGGATATTGAATGTTTACTTTACTTAATTTTCTGGTTAATGTCGGTTGTTTGACAGTGCTTGAAACACTTTCATAAAGTGATATAAAATTTTTTACATTTATTTTTGGCAATTCATCGCATGATTTATATTTATCAAAATCCTCGTCATTTCTTCTGTCAGTAGTTTTATTAAAGATGTCCATTTCCGATTTGCTTATGGACGTTCGATAAAGTTTATTTAACTTGTTATGCTTGTTCTCCTGATGATTATCATAGTTTATTTGTTTAATAATATTTTTCACATACCTACTGTCTTTTTTCATTGGATCTCGTTCTTCTGTTGAATTTGGTGATTCAAAACCTTTAGTTACCAAACTTGGTACTTTTTTAGATTTATCCGTTAATGATATGTGAACTAAGTTATTACTCGAAGTATTCTTTGTACTCATATCTAACTTAATATCGTTTATACGTTGTTCGTTGTCAGATTCGAAAGTTTTATCGTTGAATGTACTCAGTGTATCTTCTATGTTTTTATTGCTATATTTATTTTGATGTATATTATGCATAGACTGAGATTTTCGATTTGACCATAATAAATCCTCTGTATTCGATATTTTATGAAATAATGATATACGACTAGACACCAACCCACTATCTTGACTAGCACCGTTAATTACTGATGATTTATCTACGGTGCTTGGTTTTCCTAAAAAAGTATCTATTTTATTTAAAATTTGTTTTCTAGATGTACCAAAAAATCTTTTAGGGCTCGTCTCAAATGCTTTAAATACTTCTTCTGGTAGTTCCTGTTTCACTGGTGATGCCAATTTTGATTCGTAGTCATTATTATCAGTTTCATCGACTTCTTCAATATTTATTATTGGAGTTTGATTACTTTTTGGAATATTAGTCTTAAAACAAGATATTGTGTCTTGTATATTATCAGTCTCCAGTTTATTATCCCAATATTTTTTCCATTTCTCCACCAACTTTATATCGGATTCCACTTGTTCTATCGACTCTTGGGAATTATTAGTTTTTAAAGTTTTAACATTTGATTTATTTAAAGTTAATGATTTTCCATGCTCATTTTTATTCTCATCAGCTTTTAAAAAGTTTTTGACAATTTGTTTACCACGTCGTTTTGTTAGAGAATCGTTATTTCTCAAATGTCTAGAAGATAGTCGACGTTTCTTTTGAAGTGTTGTTGATTCTTCTGATTTCGCTTCTATTTGTCGTATTCTTTCATCCCAATATTTCTTTTTTTCTAATACTATATTTGTGTATTTTTTGTCTCCAAACTGTGTTTCAATTTTATTTGATTCTTGATATTTATATGATTGTTGTGTTTTGTTTTCTTGAAGGGTATGACTTGCTGAAATGGATTCAGTGGCATTTGTCTGAACCTCAGAAATCTTTCCTTCAAATAGTGTGTTTTTAGTTATCTTTTGTCTCTTCACATCTGTTTCAATTTCAGATGCTGAATCGACATAAATTGTATCAATTGTATGTTCTTTTTCCTGTCTTTGGAGTTTATTATCTACACTTGGGATTATGGTAGAATTCGTTTCTACATTAGGAAAGTGCTCTTGATATAAGTCATTTAGTTCAGCAAATGCCACTGTTATAGCATCAGTAACATCGTCTTTTTCAAAGTTTTCTGCCTTTTTTATATTCTTCATTCCAGATGGTATACTTCTGTCATTTTCTTCGATAATGGGAGTAAAAATAGGACGTTTAAATTCGAATTTGTTCGGTTTTACACTGGTATCTTCATGAATAATGAGGATATCGTCATTTAATTCACTGCATGTTTGCCATATTTCCCTCTCAGCTGGACCTATGTTAGATAATTCTTCGCGTTTTAATCCATATCTCATTTCATTAGGAGAAAATTTTGGTTTGCTCACTGATTCAGTAAAGGCTATATTATCATTGTTATTACTATCTGGCGAACAATTATTATCATCTATACTTACATAGGCGGAATCCCATAGGTCTTTTTTTGGTGTAATGTTTTGCGATATTTCTGTATCGATTTGGTAATTTTCATGTTGACTGTTGTTCTTGGATATAGGTGAACTACCTGCCACCTCTGAATTGAAACTATGAAGTGTAGAAGATACAGGCAAGTTATGTTCCTCTATCTTAACTTGGTTTGCAGGTATTGGAGTAGAAAATACAGGAGAAAGTTTGTCGTTATTTGTACTCAACTCATGTGTATTATCTACATTGTTTGTAATAATTAAAGATTCCATATCAGGAACAGGTGATGTAGCTCTAATTATAGGTGGCAATGAAACTGGAGCCCCTATTTTAAAATCTGCAATCGGTAATGATTCACTAGATTGTAGATGTTGGTGTATAAAGAATGGATTTATAAATTCATTCCCCAGTATTTCTTCATTTAATTTTTCTGGTTTATTTTCTATATAACCAGTGTCATCACGATTACATTTTTCACCTGATATTATTTTGAAAACAGGAGATTTTGGTCGGGTCAATTTAATTAAATCTGTATCTATAAATGGATTATTGTTTGTCGTGGTCGTTTCATCATTTTCGTCTATTAATATCTTTACAGATGTATTCTCTATCTTTTCGCATTGAGAGTTATTTGTTTCATATTCATTTGTTACAAAGGAGCCTAAATCTTTTTCTGTTTCATAATCATGTTCACATCTGTCGTTTATAAATGGATTATTTGGTGAATTTGTTTTATTTGACACTAGACTATTATCGTCACTATCATCATGTGTTAAGCAATATTCCTCCAAGCTGTCCTGATTGTCTATATCATTTACCAGACTATGTGTTTTTATTTCATTCAATGTAGTGTCACATACAAAATTAGGTTCATGTTTTTCCGTTAAAATTGATACTGAAATTCTATCAGGGATAATAATTTTATCTCTACTATCTGAAATGTGGTACGGTTTCGGCTTTGCATCACTCAATGTAGAATTAACAATATCTGGAATATCTTGGTGTTTTGGTCGACTGTTGCCATTTTCTGTAATTGTCATTAATATATGTTTTCTAGGTATATAATCGACAAATGCTTTACAGACACGGCTAGTTGTTATAATTTTTCTAACAGTTTTTTGAAATTTTTTATTCCTGTCATTACTGCAAGGTAATAAAGTTGCATTTGTATAATTTTTTAAGACATTACATATAGGTTCATCAATAGGAGTTGTGATATTTTGCATATTTTCAGTAGACATTAGTATTCTCGCTTCATTATCTGTTATTTTTTCTAGAGAGCCATTTTCCTTCAATAACATCTTTTCAGTTCCAAAGTCAACAATTCTTAGAACTGCCTTTTTGTCTGTTTTAACATCAACAATGTCTATTTCTTCTCCATTCTCTAAGCAGAAACTTTCTCTCTCTAAGGTCCCAATAATATTATGAGACGCTATTACAGTATATGGTGATCCGACTATGTTTTGACCCTTACTCGTTATAGAGATTTCATATCTGCCTTCAAGTTTTACAGTATAACTAACTTTTATATGATCTGCATGTGACTCTCCTTCAATTTCAATATCATACCTTGTTTTTGGTATATAATAAGTTTTATTCATATTATTTTTACCATAGGCTCGTAAATACGTTGCACCTTGTGTTATGGGTAATACGTTTTCTGTAAAGTTTTGTTTATTTTGCAATCCCAGTAGTTTTTGTCTAATTAACTGTGCTTTTCCCATTATAGGTGGGAGAACTGTCATTCCATAGGTATCTTTAGGCCCTTTAATTAAAATAGTTATTTCTCTTGGATCTAACGACTGTTGTCCAGTTGGATAAATCTTGAAATGCATTCTAGTATTAACTTGAGCTGCTGATAAACCAGAACCTCTTGCAACGTAGTCTACAGTAAATTGGGTGGTTTCTGGAGAAGTCCTTTGAGAAACAGGTTTTGAGACAGGTGGTGTTAATTTTGCTAGAGCCAGTCGGATGCGGTCTAAATAAGTAGCCAGTTTCCATTCTTGGTGTTTGCTTAGTGAGTCATGCGATTCCAGCTCTTGGCGGGAAAAGACCTGAAATAAAAACAATTTGCTTAATATAAGATGAAGTATAAAGTTCTCCGATATCTTACAAGTTAATGTAGTATATGAGATAATCTTTTAGCTTATTGGATTGGTTATAAGCGTCTATTAAATGTGTTGAGGGTAGTTAATGAATGCAGGTGGTTTAGAGATGTTCCTGATATAAGTAATGATAATTTGTTTGTGACTGCCAATATTCGAAGATTAACCATACATGCTCATTGCAACGATATTAAAATAATAATTCTAATGAAATAACTAGTGTTATGAACTTCCGCAAGATAAAACTTAGTTTAGTTAATTTAGTTAGTAAACCAGTACCAAAGTACTGTTTTACTAATGTAACTGTAACTGTTTTTATATAGGCTACTTTTTATCCTGATCAATCAAAATGTTCCCGGTCACGTTGATGAAGTAAAAAAAACTAGGAACTTACGAATATAATCCTAATGTACTTACGGGCTCAACACCAAGACAATCGTCTGCAATTGCCTGAGCGTGTGTTAAAGAGAGCCGCGAAGGAGGATGTCCTGAGCAGGCACCCGGTATGGCTGCGTCCAGCACCTCGCAGAGTATCCAGCCGTGCCGCCATACTGTATTCAGAGTCTCGACCCTGACTTTTGCGGTCTCGTCCAGCCATTGTACTACTGCTCGTTTTTGGTCCTCGCTCGAGAATACGACTGAAAATAAAAATTATCAATTAGTTTCTATAGGGAATTATTGTAAAAAAAATTTATACTTCTATTCAAACATCCAAACATTACTTCAAATTCAAATTTATATGTTTTAAGCCAGAAAAGAACCAAATCCAAACCAAAGCAAACTTAACTGCAAAAATAACTGGAAAACTAAAAATCGATTTAGAATTGGTGATATATCGCGTAACATAGTAATAAAAAATTTACACCATTAGAAACTTTCATTTTGAAGTCGTTCTGCCAAAGCACAGTCTAAGTAATGACTATTCTTTGACGGTATTATAAATCTTATATACTTTATGTTTTACATCGTAACGGAATTAATTTTATACTTATTAATGCATTAAATATACAATTATTATTTTCTTAGATTATTTCACAAATTAAAAAAAAATAATTATGGCGTAAGCATTTTCGTGTACCAGTTGTGTTTGCATGGCTGTGTTTCGGTTTGAAGGGCGGAATATGGCGTGAATTCACAGGGTATAGAGGAATAACACCTGACTCCTCAGGAATGGCAACGCATGGGGGGTATCATGGGCGAAACAGTATACTCTGTTATGTCATGCTACTGTTGTCTACTGCTCATGTCTATAGGCGACAGTTACCACTTTCCATCAGGTGGGCCTTTAGCTTGTTTGCCATTCTATGTTGTATAAAAAAAAAACATTATCGCTCAGGATGGCGCTATGAAAATTTACTGAGTGTAAAATTATAAACGTGTTAGTACCAACTGTGTTGTAATAGTTTGAATGTTAAAAGTTTAAGATGGTTGCAAAACAACGGAAGTGGGTACGCACCGTAAAATTGTTGTCAACTTTTATAGGAAAACATAAAGCCGTGTTGTTCGCTTAAATCGCTTCTGAATGCTAATGTTATTTCAACTATTTTACTAAATAACCGCATAGAGTGTGAGTTACCTGTACACGTTATGTGAATAGGTATTTAAAATAATGTTTTTATTTACCACACTGAGATTTTGTACAAGTGGTTGCATAGGTACTTCATTCCCATTTATGTTTCTGCTGGCAAACAACTGTAGTTTTATGGCTGTTATTACAACACTTAGATTATACTTTTTGTCAGTTAATTGTCAAATTGACTTGTTTTACTTACTTACGCATAAAATGTGTCTTAACGTATTATTTCACAAATAAAATGAGTGTTTACGGAATAAAAACATGCAGAAATTTTAAAACAAAATAAATATAGAAGTTATAAAGGAATCACTTATAACTATTTATTACGCAAAATTGGAAGGAAAAGTTGAACTGTTTTTCTCGAAGCATTATCTATATAAACTAATTTACAATATAAGGGACACCCTATCGATTGGGGGAAGAGACTTTTTTTTAATAGATGATAATGGAATGGTAGCTCTGCCTGTGCTAACGATATATTCAGGCGAGGCACCAGTGAGGGATGACAGGTAAGAATGAAGAGGCAGATCAGTTACCATATGGAGGTTGACCTGACAGGGTATATTGCTGGTAATGGGATTGGTAGTTACGCTTACCCCCGGAGGAAAGCAATTTGATAAGTAAAAACGGGGGCCAGCAATGTAGCTTAAAAAAAAAAGCTTGTTAGGGCGGTAGCCACTGATGTTCTCTGATAAACGTCGTGGTCAGTTTTCAGCCTCACTTATCATTTCTCAGTATTGGCATAATGACAGAGTATGTCAATAGTGCAGTTCAGAAATACCAATAGTTATTCAATAATGGTAGATATAATATAATTATTGTAAAAAGTCATAAGTGTCGTAATAGGCGACTAAGGGAATTTAATGATTAAAGATTGGGCAGCAACGTCCTTTTTAAAACATCACTAAAAGTTTTTATTTATGCAACTTAGAATGGCAAACAAGCTGATGGCCCACCTGATGGAAAGTGCTAACCGTCGTTTATAGACACGAATCAAAAGCCTAATTGCAGTTGCCAATCTACCTGCTAAGCGTGGCAACTACTGGCAAAACCCCCTTTATGGGGGAGGCCTATGCCCAACAGTGGACAATTAACGGCTAATATGATGATGATTGCAAAGGAATTATGAAGATTATAAGATAGTTAAAAAAAGTTATTTAAAAATATTTAATATATCAAAAGATATGTACAAGTACAGCACCTAGCTTAAATATAGCAAAATCTATTAAGTACTAGCTGATGCCCGCGACTTTGTCCGCGTTTGTTATTCCTGTTTAGTATGTATCGATGTATGTACCTATTTATTATGGCTAGGAATACTGGACTAAAATTAACAAATGACATGTAGTTCTTACTCTTTGCCTTAAGTCAAAATTACTTTACTTAAGTAGGTTGTGTACTAAGCTGTATAAGTTGCTATAGTTTTTTAACTATCCCACAGGAACTCTTTAGTTTTACGTAAACAAAATATTTAATATGTTGAGTTAAATGTAAGGTACCACCATGTAAAACTTCGTTTAAATCGGTCCAATAGTTTCGAAGATTAGCCTGTACAAACAGACAAACAGACAGATAAACCTAAAATTTAAAAAAAATCTGGATATGTTCTATTTCACTCCTGACATTACCCTGACTCGGTTTTTAGCGTTTTTTATGTACAAAAATTGACCTCTACAGTTTTATTATATGTATAGATTAGATACTTCAATTGACTAGCGTGAACTGTGTTAGATTAGCTAGTGGTAGTTACAGATTTATCTAGGCAAAACATAGATTACTTCGAACCGCTGTACCGTGTCGGTGATAAAATATGCCAATGCAAGTGTAGCTACTGGTTTTAGATTACTAACATTAACTCGTTTATAGTTGTTTACATAATATACTTCTACCTGTTTAGATATTGTGCAAGATTATGGTTATTGCCATGAGCTTCTGGTATATACAACATGTTGTTTTATTTATTACTTTTTTTTTGATGGTTGAAAATGGTATGGTAACCCCATCTGCGCTAACGGGATATGCTGGCGGAGTACCAGTGAAGGGTGATAGATTAGAATGAAAACAGGCCAGTTAGCCCATCATGATTAATTCATCAGGAATTAACCATGATAGTTTCCAGGAGGAACCGGGAGAAGATCGACCTGGTTGGGATTCTTAGTCTCCATTACCAAGAATCCCTTTCCCCCCCATTTATTTCTTATTGCATTCCATAATGTAATTAGTAGATAACATTTCAACTTCAATTATGGACCCTGTTGGGCACAGCAAGTAAGTAAACAAGGAGAGAGAAAGACAACACTTTTTTCACTTTAGAAATAGTCTAAGAATCTGTTACCTATTGCCCCTTTCTCTCCCATGTGTTTCCTAAGAGGCAACTAAGGGAACTTAATAGTTGAGGGATGGGCAGCAGCGTCCCTCTTAAAACATCATTAAAAGCCTGACTGCGGTTGCCAACTCGCCTGTCAAGGGAGGCAACTACTGGTGAAACCCCTTTATGGGAGAAGTCTGTATTCAGCAGTGGATAGTTAAAGGCTGATATCATCGTCAACATGGTAAAATTACAACGTAGTCACAAACAACTCATACGGTACCCTAGCTAACTTAATCCTTATGCTCCAGAAGGTTTTTATAGTATTAGCGTGTATTTTTTTTATACAACTTAGAATGGCAAACAAGCTAACGGCCCATCTGATGGAAAGTGGTAATCGTCGCCTATAGACATGAGCAGTACCATGGACATAACAGAGTATACTGTTTCGCCCATGATACCCCTCATGCGTTGCCATTTTTGAGAACTTAGGTGTTATTCCTCTGTACCCTGTAAATTCACACCTCTCACCCTTCAAACCGAAACACAGCCATGCAAACATAACTGCTTCACGGTAGTATCATGAATGGGACAGAGGTACCCAAGCAATCGACTTTTGTACAAAGTGTCTGTTTCTAGCAATATACTCCTTCAGATCAGTCTCCTCCCTGGAAACCATTGTGGTTAATTGCCAGTAAATTTATCACGATTCTGACTGATCTAACTTTATCCTCACCTATCATTCTTCACTGTCGCGCCAGCACCGATAGCAAAGGCGGATATACCATTGCTTTTCGTCTTTAATAAAAATGATACGCTCTCCTTATACTGTATTTCGGGCCCCCCCGAAATATTAGTATTAGGGGAGGCCGAGGATTCGGGGGGGGGGGGGGGTTATTAGTAAAATTCTATATTATAACAATCGATAAGTAACGCATTTACGAGTATTGAGGTAACAAATAATATATGTCATGTTTATAACATTTAAAACTATTTTGAACTAGGTTTTACCAGCAACTTTGTCTGCGTGACCAGGATATGTTCACTGACTGGGATGAAAAGTATCCTATATACTTCTTTATCCCCCATAGTATCTGTACACTCGTATCAAATTTCATAGCTTTCACATTTATATTATTGGTAAAGATACTAATATAATTTATATTAGGCATACTTCTAATCTTGTTTAAAGTGAATAACACAGAGTTTTTTCTCATTAATTCATTCAAAAGCCGGTCTGAATAAATCACTATCAATATACTGGCCTTCCCAAAGGATCCCCATAAGCTTGACCTTAATCTCAACGGATGCTATGGAGCTTATGAACCCTTCTTTGCACGCTCTCGGTTTCAAAAGAGTCAGATTGTGGGAATCGCGAAGACATCAAGAAGGGACATAATTCCACTCTTCAGTCTAATCCGCAGGGGTGCTTAAAGTTTGCGCCACAGTTGCCGTCGTGAAAAATACATTAAACTGTTTTTTTATTCTTCAAAATCTTACACAGTATCATGGGTATTTTTTTATCATTGTACAATTATATTTAAAATAGGACGCAGTGGCAAAAACTAATGAATATTTTATCACTTACAAAAAAAAACTTTGGGAACCTCTGGCCTAATCGCTTCGTGTGGTTGAATAGGATATTTACAACTTAACAATGCTTCTTTCGTTATTAATAAATCCTTACTAATATTATAAATTTGAAAGTGAGTTTGTTTATTTCTTTGTTACCTTTAAATAGCTTAATGAATGACTATAAAATTTGGTATACACATTCTACATGGGATCTTAACTAATTATTGTAAAATTTTTAGTATTTTATGGGATGGGGAAGAACATATGCTATTTTATTTTGGTCAATGCATATATTTTTATTTCGGTCAGACGGATAAAGTTGCGGGTAAAGCCTAATTGTTTTTGATTTAACAGTAGATATTAAAAAATTTAAATGTTTGTGAATATTGTATTAATAATAGATTTAATATATCATTGTAAAGTCTGATAGCTTGTAATCATGTTTTATCAGCTTCTGTATATTATATATAATCTTACAGGCAATGTTTAGATAAGAGTGTGTAATTAGGTATGTACCTATATTAATATATTCATTTGGAGATTTGGTTATCTTTTACCTGAGTGTGTAGAGTGTGTGTGTGTGCGTGTGTGCGTGTGTGCGTGCGTGCGTGCGTGCGTGCGTGCGTGCGTTAGAGTTAGAGGGTTAAGGATTGTTAGTAATGGGGACGTTAATCCAATATTGCTAGCAATATAATCTATCGGATCGATCTCCACGCAGTTGCTCCTGGAAACTGTCGTTATTAATTATTGTTAAACTTGTTGCGATAAGCCAACTGAACTGACTTCATCCTCACCTATCATCCTTCACTAGTGCCTAGTGTATAGGTACTGATAGCACGGGCCAGGTTACCATTTCATTATCACCAATAAAAAAAGTATAGAGTTTGTTTGTTATCTCTTGACGTTTTAATGGTTTAACCAATGATTATGACGTTTTTGTTATATTTATTTATAAATTTTTTTCATACCACGAAGCAGTGGCGGATTTGCCCTAATGGCACGGACTAAGATGCGCCTGAAACTAGTTCTTTTAAAAATACATGAGATTAATAATATTTCATTAAGCCTAAAATCATCAAATCTAAAACACTTACTTGCTCTAAAAGCAGAATCAATATGCTTAAGCAGTTTAAAGAGGAAGCTCTCTTGCCCCCAGAACAAGGTCAGAAGAGTTGCTGGCGCCAGATATCGCAGGGTAGTGAGGATCACATCGAGTGCTGCAGACAACATGCCTCGCTTCGCTTCGTACTCAGGATACTCGGGGATGGTGAACAACCCTGGAAGAAGGATGTTATTATTGGCGTATGATTTAACATTATTTTTCAGCGAGGTTTTGTGCATAGTTAAGATCACCTTTCTTATCTTGAGGTGAGTACAGCCCACCTTGTCCTTGGTATTCCGTATAATCGAAAATCCGGATAATCGATTTCAGAGTTAGATGAAACATTAATAAATTTTTTATGTTTTTTATTATGTAAAGGCTTTTACATACGTCATTTAGATAATATGCTATAAAAAAATTATGAGCTATAAAGATAATGGATTATATAATACTTATTTACTCAATTAATACATAATACAATTTCTAAATCGGTATTAGAGTCGTGAAGAATTAATCCGGATAATCGAAGTTCGGATAATCGAGATTCTACTGTATTTACTTTATACTAAAATAATAATAGGTAAGTATTTTTTTTTTGAAATTTCTAATGCATAAAAACATCTTTGCTCCTAATCCGTGGGTGAAAGGAAGTAAGTACCTTAGCTAAGGCGTAACATCCTTACATGATTTCTCTCGTTTTTTCCATACATTTTTACTACCATGTTACTTGTTCGAAATCTTGTTATAGCAGATAAATATTGAAAATATAAGTATTTTGTGAGCCAATGTTTTTCTTATGTAAACTCGAAAGAGCCCATTTAGATTATGACTTTCGAGAAGTTACGAAAAATATAGATAGAATAATTGACCCGACGATGGGGCACTTTACTGATGTCCAATAGAAGTACAAATTAATAAATGATTAATTGATTTGATGTTAAACTTGTTACTTATTTCATTTAGAGAGTATGCTTGTCATCATCAACATCATATCAGATGACGATGATGACATCGGTATCTCAGCCATTATCTGTCCATGTTAAAGGCCTTCCCCTTAAGAGGAGTTTTGTCAATAGTTGTCATGTTTGACTGGTGGGTTGGCATTATGTTTGCCATAATTTTAATAACATTTGGTTACATTTTTATTAATTTCTATCGAAACAGTCCAGTCTAGCCCATTATCTTGCGACATGCGTGACGATGACGCCATCGTTTGTATTGTAGCTCGTTATTTTAATGCGATAACATTAAATGCTAATAATCTTAATTAAAATTTGATAAAAATACGATAAACGTCATATTTTGTGTTTGTAAAAAATGTAAACGGACGCATTTGTAATTTTTCTCAAACTATGAATTAACTAGATAATGATAAATATGATATGATAAATAGACAAACTGCATTTAGAGCTGCTTTTAAAATTATTCATTTACGCCTTTTTACAATATGGGAATTTACAGGACCTATAATATATATACTTATAATGCATACATAATACTAACCAATGCTTTTCGGTTGTCCTTCATTTTGTACGTTTGTTTTATAATGTTTCAACAAATCCTTAATACTGTCTGACATTATTGACTTTCTACTATCTCCTATCCCACTATTGCCATCTTACTTAAATCTAGATAATACAAAACTTGTACCTCACTAAAAATCTTTCTAGGTAAAGATTATATTTGCATTTGGTCTTATTTTACGAGAGATGATGCGTTTTATAATTAACGTATTATTACAATAAATTTAATTAAGAAACATTTTTTACTTTTAAAAGTTTGTAATAAAAGCAATCTTTTTTTACGGTGTCGTTAATTTTTTTGAATTGTTTTTTAAAGAAATAATACTGTCGTAATGTATTTTTTTATGCAATTTAGAATGACAAACAAGCTGACAGCCCACCTGATGGAAAGTGGTGACTGTCGCCTATAGAGCAGTACCGTGGACATAATAGAGTATACTGTTTCGCTCATGATACCCTCCCCCCTCGTTGCCATTCCTGAGGACTAAGGTATTATTCCTCTGTACCCTGTAAATTCATTGCCATATCCCACCCTTTAAACCGAAACACAGTCATGCAAACACAACTGCTTCACGGTAGAAACACGAATGGGACAGAGGTATGTAAACGAATTTTGTACAGTCTTTCTCAGGTAAAATACTCTGGCATAAGAAAGTTTGTAAAAAGTTTGTACTAATCACAAACTGAAACAAGTATAAACGGCTGACAGGAGTTAACATAAGCTAGATAAACGTAGAAAACGTACCTACTTACTTGGAAATGCGTAACTGTAAATAACAATCGAAAGGTTCATAGACATAGTCCAGGTGATATTTATAAAAAATGTCTAAAATGTATTTGTCCTAACTTAATATACGTATCTAGGGGGAAAGGGATTGTCAGTTATAAGGTCAAATAGCCCCAATTCTAGCAACATACCCTGTCAGGTCAACCTCCACGTGGTTTCCCCTGGAAACCATCGTGGTTAATTTTAGTTGAATTCGTCAGGATGGGCTGACTAACCTGTTTCATATATATACGGTATATACTGGCTGGGCACCTCACTGGTTCCCAGCCAGTATATACCGATAGCGCAGACGGGGTTACCATTCCATTATCACCCATTAAAAAAATATATACGTACCTAATATAGCATATGTTATATCTGTGTTATATACACAGATAATATATACTAACTCTATATTCATAACAATTAGGTGCTTATCAAGATAACGACAGTGTACAACAGACAACAGAATTGCTTATCTATTATTAAAAAAAATATTCATAATAAACGACATAACAATGTTGTTACTTGTACAAACACTTACTAAATAAATATATTTATTTATCGTAGTACATAGTATATGCATACACTAGTTAAATATTATACCAGTAGGTCTGGAATGATTTGAAATTCAGCAATAATATTTATTATACTATAATTTATAATTTTTCCACAAAATAAATAAAGAAAAGTTTTAAAATGAAAATACTTTTGTTTATTTTTTTCCATGTCGTATATTCCCACGTGGGGTGTTAATGGGTTGTCATAACAATGATAAATAGACATAAAATAGGCGAACATCATCTAACGTGACTTACTTAGTAGTTTTCAATACTTGCATAGGGATAAAGCTTAATAGACTATTGTATTGAATGTATAATGGACTATATTATTTCACCACGTTTACCGATATGTGCAAAAAACAGCCAGCTTTCTAGTATACTGATAACTAAAAAAACTGCATTGTAAATTAATAATAAGCAAATAAGTAAATACCTAACAGCATTTACATACATACACATTTTACCAGAGGGAGACTTTGTACAAAAGTCGTTTGCTTGGGTACCTCTGTCCTATTCGTGTTTCAACCGTAAAGTATTTGTGTTTGCATAGCTGTGTTTCGGTTTGAAGGGTGGGATATGGCGTGAATTTACAGGGTACAGAGGAATAATACCTGAGTCCTGAGGAATGGCAGCGCATGGGGGGTATCATGGGCGAAACAGTATACTCTGTTATGTCCATGGTACTGCTCATGTCTATAGGCGACGGTTACCACTTTCCATCAGGTGGGCCGTCAGCTTATTTGCCATTCTAAGTTGTATAAAAGAAACATATGCATATAGTGTAATTTTTATACATCCAAATTTTTTATTTGTATTATCATATCAAGTGATAATGCAACAAGTGATAATTCTCGCGCGATGACGAAATAACATGTCATCGCCCATTTCTATAACCAGGATATCGAAAGAACTAATTAGGGGGATAGGAAGAAATTTTTACACAAGAAATGAAAAACGAGGAAAACTTGAAATATGTACTAGCTAATACTAACTATATTCTACGTCTCCGTTAGCGTGATTCAATACATAAAGTATCCTACTTATATATATATATATATATATATATATATATATATATATATATATATATATATATAATAATTTCATTTTATACAATTAATTCCGTGTACCAAATTTATTTAAATTCGTTTAGTAGTTTTTGCGTGAAAGATTAAAAAACATTCATCCATGCATCCAGTGTAACAAACCTTGCCATTTATTATATTATGTTGTTAAACCACGTCGTCAATCTTAGTAATAGTAGATTAATAAGATGTTCTCATATTAATAATTGTCCATTCAATGCTTGGCACTTCAATATTCAATTTCGCTCCACCAACTATCATATTCAGTTATTACAATCTATACTTTCATTCCTGATTCTATCTCTCGTATCCAATATCGAGGAACGGTCGCTCTGTTCATGCGATCACTACCAAAAACTAATAAAATATATTGCAGTTATCATAAGTTCTTCTTGTGATAATTATAGTGATAGGTTAGGTGGATTTGTAAAAGAACAAGAAGCTAGAGTTTTCAAATCAATGTTGGATGATTCAGGTAGAGAAAGTTTTTTTTTAATAGATGAAAATGGAATGGTAACCCCGCCCGCGCTATCGGTATACACCGATGAGGCACCAGTGACAGATGATTGGTGAGAATGAATGCAGATCAGTTGGCCCACCATGATGAATTCGATAAGAATTAAACATGATGGTTTCCAGGGGGAACCACGTGGAGGTCGACCTGAGAGGGTCATTTGCTAGCAACGGGGCTATTAGACCTCATTACTAACAATCCCTTTCCCCCCTGGTAGAGAAAGGTTAAGTTACCAATGAATGTAGGTTGAGAATCGCAATAGATGGAGGGAAATGGTAAAGGCAACATCTTCAGGAATAAAGAAACGAGTATGGGGAAACCCTCCACTTATGCGAGAAATTTGTGCCTAATGTTCGAATATAGATAAGTCATTACTAAGATGATTAATTGTGACTCACATTTATTGCATAATTCATAATATCACAACGCAATATAGTTCAATTTCCTTTTTATGTTATATTTTATTTAGATATATTAATTATATAAAATATTGATGAAGCCACGCCTTTTAGATTGACATTTATAATATAACTTATATTTACAAATTTTTCAATATAAAACAATGTGAAATAAGCTAACAAAAAGAAACGCAATAATGAGACGAAGTTACGAAGTGTTTCAATGTAACAGTTCAGTATAGTTTCAGAACTGTATGAAACTTTCAAAATAGTCGTTTCACGTATTATTTAAATTTAAAACAGCATTAACAAGGAAACTGTAAGGA